CGTGGAAATGCAGGATGTAATTCTTTTCTAGCATTTGTCCTACACTAAGCAAATTGTGACTTATTTCTGGCACATACAAGACATTAGGAATTAGTTTAATACTTGGCTTAGTCTGCACAGCAACATCTCCTTTCCCTTTGACATCCACAAACTCTCCATTCCCAACTTCAACTCTGGAGTGATATGCCTTGTCCAAGTTGACAAAATCTTGCAAGTTTGTTGTCATGTGGTTGGTGCAGCCACTGTCTATCAACCAAGCATCATTGCAAACTTGAGTTGCACAGCAAGATGCCACAAATAGTTGCTTAGATTATGAATTTGGCTGATGATCTTCAACAATCTGGGCTTGCTGTGGTGGCTGGTTTGGCTTGTTTTTGCAAACTTTTTCAATGTGGCCAAATTGTTTACATGCTCTAAATTGAATATTTGGTCTGAACCAGTACCTCTTCTTGGAATGGCCCTTCTTCTTATAGTAAGAGCATGTTGGATACTCTTTCATTCCACCTGATTTGTTCCATTGATTACTGGTTTTCTCCTTCCCCTTCTTATCTCCAGCAAACCTCTTGCTTCCTCCTTGAACAACTTTGCCTTTAAAGCCTGCCACCATTGCACCCTCACTTGAATCCTCTTGTCTTAGCAACCTCCTTTGCTCTTGAGCTTGCAGAGCATGTACCAGTTCTGTGAGTGTGATCTGTGACAAATTCTTAGAGTCCTCAAGAGATGAGATCTTGGACTCAAACCTCTCGGGTAGGGTCACTAATACTTTCTCAACAATTCTTTTCTCTGTCATTTCCTCACCTAACAATCCAATTTTATTCACCATATTCATCAACCTATCCACATACTCCTTCACTGATTCTAATTCTTGCATCTTCAGCATCTCAAACTCCCTCCTTAAGTTCAATACATGCATATTATTAGTTGTATCACTATTCACTACCACCAAACTCCTCTGTGAGCTTGTCCCATGCTTCCTTGGTTGTTTCATACGTAGAGCTAGCAAGGACTGGTCCCAAGCAGGATTGGGCCTGGGCCCATTTGGGACTATTCCCATTTAGGACCAGTCACTCATGGGTCCCAGGCCCATGAGCAATTTTAGGACCTAGGACCGGTCCTGGGCCTATAGGACCGGTCTTATAGGCCTGCAAAATTTTATTTTTTCCTATCTTTTTTATATTTTAGGGGCGAAATAAAATTTTGTAGGGGGGTTTACGTAATTTTTAGGGGTAGATTAGTAAGTTTTTTAAAGTTTAATTAATTTTAAAAAATAATAAATAAATTAATGGTTAATTTTAACATAAATGTAATATTCACACAATCACACATTCACGCTTCACAAATAAACAATTAAATAAATTTTTTTATTCAACAATATTTAAATCATTAAAATTGTGTTCCTAAAGAGTTCGAGTAGTTCAAGATCTTCAGGGTGATGTTATAGTCTTTTCTTTGCATGAGTCCAATCTTGTAAACACCTTATCACTTCAATCATCTCATTGGTTAAAGAGCATCTTCTGTCTTCAACAATCTGGCCACTCGTTGAAAATGCTGACTCGGATGCAATTGTAGAAACCAGCACAGATAAAATGTCACGTGCCATTTGGGCTACAATGGGGAATCGACTTTGATGTTGGTTCCACCATTGAAGCACATCCATCTCACGTTTCTCTTTCTTCGTCATGTAGAACATGTCCATTTGTAGGTAGTGATTTAGCTCATTTGGTCCATATATGTACAAGCTAGAGTTGCTACTTCCGCCATGTTCCATATACGTCCAAATGCTCGATCCTTGATGGAGGTCTTCATCAGGGCCTTGATCGTCTCTCCTGGACATTCTACTTCCACTTCCATTGTACCTGTTCTGATATAAAGAAAAAAGGCTTTCCAATTTTTGCATAAAGTCAATCAAATAAGATGTATAATCATGTCCTAAATGCTTGTCTATCTCAGTAATTATACATTTAACTACTTGTAATTTAAACTTAGGATCTACAACAAGGCTTAATCCATATAAGAATGGAATATCTAACCAATATTTCTCGTATTTTTCTTCCATCTTTAAAACAATTTCCATTAAAACGTCATTATATCTATATTTAGCAAAAGTTTTAGAAATTTGAAGTAAAATATCTAACGCTAAATTAGTAGTCGGATAATAAATACCACTTAATATATTAGTGGAATCATAAAAAAATTTAAGAAATGAATAAAAAAATTCACAAACCGCTCAATCATCATAGTTGACAACTTCCTCTGGATGGTTCTTATGGTTGACGGAATTTGTAATTTGTCTTGCGATTGACAAAACTTTTTCCAACATCAAGTAGGTGGAGTTCCAACAGATAGGCATGTCCATACATAACTTCAAAGGTCGAACCGGTGGGTCCTCTTGCCTACAATATTTGACGTATTCCTGCCATCTTTTGTTGCTACCGCCGATGATAAATCTGATAGCCGCGCACACCCTCTCCATCTTCAAATTTATAGCATCTAAACTTGCTTTAACAATCAAATTGATGATGTGACAAGCACATCTCTGGTGAAAAAATTTGCCTTCACCACGCGAATCCAATCTCTTTTCAAATAAAGAGATTGTCGTGGTGTTAGCAACTGCATTATCAAGCGTTAATGCTACAACTCTATTAGTTAATACATATTCTTGCAAAACTTCAAGATTTGTAAAATAAATAGTGTCAGCACTATGTTTTTCATATAATGGTTTAAAACCCATCAATTTTTGTTGTAAACCCCAACTATGATCTAAGAAATGTATTGTGATAATTAAAAATTTTGTTTTTGATCTACAAGCCCATATGTCTGATGTAAGTGCAATAGATATATTCCTAAAATTTTGAAATTCGTTTTTAAGTTTATTATTTATTTTGTTATAAAGTTTTAGTATATCTCTTCTACTTATACTTCTACTAACAAGGGTATATGCTGGACAAAATGCAGTTTTAATCATGTGAATAAAACAAGGATATTCAGATAAACAAATGGGAGAGTCCGTAGCAACTATGAATCTTGCTATCTCCTCTCATGCAACATTTGCATTGTATTGACATGTTGAGAGAGATAAGGATTGTGGTTAAAATTAAGTTGAGTTTGAATTTGCCTACTTGATCCAGTTGAAGATGTACAAGACAACTGCATTATTTGGGGGTGTTTCTTCTCCAAGTGTTGTCGTATCGTCGAAGTCCACTTCTCAACGCTTATAATGGTTCCACAGAAATTACATATCCCACACGATTCTTCCCCCTCCCCATTTGTCTTTGGCCATTTTGATTTGGTGAAGTGTCGCTATACATCGGACACGACCCTCTTTGATGGTCAAGGGGATTGGCCCATGCCCATGCCCATGCTCATTGAGTTGCAGCTCACTTGTGTTTGGCTGCACCTCGTTCTGGCCGAATGTGGTTATTGAATGGTAGTTGCTGCCTCTAGAGGAAATGGTGAAAATGGATCGAACCCTTCTATTTCTTCGGTGGATGGAACGTAAAACTCATTTGGGGATGATCCTCCGAATGCATCATTTTGGGAATCTATTATGAATTTATGATAAAATAATAAATAATTAAAATGAAAAAAAAATAATAATATGAATAAGAGATGATTATGAATAATAGAAAAAATTGAATAATATAAATAAATAAATAATAAATATAAATATAAATATAAATTGAATGAGAATTTGATTGGAAATTTGGAGTAGAGAGTAGAGAGTTTGAGTGGTGCAGAAAAAATGAGAAATTTAGGGGATATTTATCACCGACGGACCAACCACCCCTCCCCCCAACACCCCCCCCCCCCCCCCCCCCCCCCCCCCCCCCCCCCCCCCCCCCCCCCCCCCCCCAACCGACCGTTGGCTACTGCCAATAGTTATTAAATGCAAATTTTTTTAATTTTGTAAAATATCATTTTAACCTTTACAATTTCTGTCTATTTCAAAATTTATAGAGGGTTTTATGTAACTGTTTAGGGGGCTAAAAAAATAATCCAAAAGGGTTTGGACCTGCGCTTGGGACGGCCTCCCAAGCCCGGGCCTTGGAGGAGGGCCCAGCGGAGGGACCGAGTCCTCCTCCTTAGGCTTAGTCCAGTTTTGGGATCAGTCTTGCTAGGACCGGTCCTAGGATCAGGTTTTTGGACCCAATCCCAAATGCCCAGCTCTATTCATATGCCATAATTCTTATGAAAACAAGTTTAGTTACAACTGCATGAATGTGAGAGACAGCTCTAGGAGCTTTTGTAGCTTCCTCCTCAAGAAGCCTGATTTGGTTCAATGTGGGGTTTGGCCCCAGTGCAGGTGGTTGCTTATTCTCTTCAACATACTGCCACAAACATTGTCCCTTTAGGAAGGTCTTCATTTTGACAACCCATATGTGATATTGTTCACCATTGAAGACTGAAGGAGTAAGGGAAGCCGTGTGTTGTGCCATTGAATCAAGTTATTTGGAGTTTGACAGAAAATTTGACTGTAACAGAGGTTGAGGAGTTGGATAGGAGGAGATGAGTGTATCAGGCCCTTTAAGATCAATAAGTGCTCTGATATCAATTGTTGGTTTTATTGGAGAGTGATGAAGAAAAGATATTAAGCAAAAGGGAAAGATACGGCAGCATGAATATGTGCTCTGCTTTTCATTCATAATACAGGGAAATATATACACAAACCAGTCCATTATTACACCTAATGCAGTGGATATTTTTACAAATTTGAATTTGAACCAAATTACATTCAACTAATACAAGATCAAGTCATTCAAATACACCACTTAACCACTGCAGGTTTCAACTAAACCTGTCCCAAATTACATAAAATACAACAAAACAACAACTTCAACTACTGCAATCAGAACAGCAACTTTGAACACTTGCCGGCAAAAAGGTTTTTTAAAAAGTTGACTGAATTTGCTGCATTTCCAGCAAAATATCACCGGCTTCAACAGTATTAACAGACAAGACTTAAGAGAATGACAGAAAGCTTATTCATCTGATTCTTTGCTCTAAGAGTCGGAGTTGAGGATACTGATGAACATTGGATCAAAACTCATGTATTTGTTGTGCTCACGAAGTCTTTCAAAATATGACCTCCTTAATCCGTTCTTTCTAGCAATATCTGAGCGGACCCAACTTGGTTGCTTCCTCGGAGCGCCAGTGACTATCACGGACGTGGACTCGTTAGCCAAATTGCTGAGAGCTATAAGTGTCTCTGGTTCAGTAGCAGATGATGCATCAACAAGAAAAATATGACTAAAATGTCCAGCAGTTATGCCTTCATCACGCAGCCTAAAGCTACTTACAAAAGTTGAAAATATGACCCGGAATTCCCTCAATTTCTGAACTGAAGGACAAGAAAAGCACTCTCCTTTGTAAAGACACAAGGGGAGGATATCGTCCGGTACCCCATCTCTCTCTCTAAATGCAGCATTGGCCCGAAACATATCTGACTCTGGAATCTTCTCCATCAAACTTGTCATTAGTACATCACAAGTTTTGTTTATAGGAGCACATATGATAATTCGATTCTTAAGTGAGCTGGAATAAATTGCGAGTACTGCTTCTCGAACAACAATTCCAGTTTTTGATAGTTGTCTGTCAGTTACTGAAAGTGGACCCTTGTATTGTCTGTCGGTTACTGAAAGTGGACCCTCTACAAGATAAGGTGGTGAGCCTTGAAAGTTTAAGATCCGATGAACTGCTAAGAATTGATCCGAATCAAGATAATTATAGCGTTTTAAAATAGACTTTGATTCAGGGTCATTCTTTCGGGAGGCACAATCAGGAAAAAGATAGCTGTGGAATAAAGGATCAGATGCAGCTGCAATTGCTTGGTGAGCCCTTTTCAAACACACTCTGTTGAATGAGAAGCTAATATCATATTTGCGGTCTGAATGATGCTGAGAATAAAAATCTTCTTCAAATTCAACTAGCACAATGTTGCTCTTCACCACACGATAAATTAATCCCTGCTCCAAATTAGACAACAATAGTAATCTGAAAATGATTAAGATATGAAACCAGAAACTACATTAGGAGGACACTTACTTGAAACTGCTTGACAGTGCTGCCTAAACGTCGTGCATAGACGAAGTCCCTGGCCAAAAGGAAGGGTCGTCTCTCCGGAACAGAATCAACCTCAAAGGCTACAAACATTTTATCTTGTTTTTCATCATTCCCTTTCAAGTAATCATTTTTGGATGGCTTGTTATATATTGTTGCTTTATGAAACTTCAATGTTACGCTGAACAACTTAAACTCGCTCCATTTCTGAACAAATTGAAGGGCACAATTAGAAACATGGATGAAAGTCTAAAACTAATGATAATCAGAGAGAGAGAGAGAGAGATAAAATTATTGGTATAAAACAGCATATATGAAATAGCGTCGTTCATGTATCACCTCAATGTAGAAATCCTCGGCGTATAGCAGGGCAGCAAAGTAATCCTTATAGGTTGTTGGAGACAATGGCTTTTTCAGAACGTCAGGCCCAATGTCTTTCTTGATCAAATTTTCAATGTCCTTGGGAATCATATAAATTGGTGATGTGGCCTTTTGAATCACTGTATAATTAGCTTGAGTATGCTGATTTGTTGGACGAATGGGGAGTGCAGAGAGAGTTGGCTTAGAGGATGGAGGAGCCTGCCGGGAAGATGATTGTGATAATAGAGGTTGATCAGAAGATAAAGACTTCCCGAAAGAGGGTGATGAAGATGCTATAGAGGAAGAAGGTATTGCAGGTTTGGGAAATGGTGATGATTGTGCAACAGACTTGGGGGCTTTTGGAGCTGAAGATAATGAATTAGAAGAAGTTGATGTGTGTTTAGCTGAAGATTGAGACACTTCGGGAGCCCTTCTCAGATTTGATTGAAGAGATGCAGCATTAGGCTCTTTTGCAGTTGAGTTTCTGATTGATAAATTAGGGTAATCTTCGTAGTAGTAAATTATGGTTGGATCAGATTGGCGTAGCAGATCATCGCAACTTGGGGAAGAACTCACCTTCACAGAAGTTTCGGAAGAAGCTGATTCAACTGATGAGTTTCTTTTGGAAGTTTCATCATCTCTATCAATTTTATCTTTTGCATTGCGACCAAATACAAATCCCAATATTTCAAGAAATACAGACATATTGTTCTGCAATCAAAGAAGAGGAATTTATGCATCATATCATTCCATCATACAATCATCTCACACAGTTTTTAGTCTTATAAAAATGAAAATCTTTACTCCACTAAGACATAATCCCCTAAAGTTTTATTAACAGACACTTTAATGAAAGGAACATATGTTTAGATTCTGGGTACCTGAAACCGGAATCGAAACCTATGTTTTAGGTTTTGTTCTAGGTTTTTAGGAACCAGAACTGATCGATTGCTTCAAAAAATGCAGGGTACCGAGAACTGTTCACCCCTAATATCTAGACATTAAATCCTTGATATATTTTGCTAGGCAAAATCTATAACATTTTTTTTTTTTTATTATTGTTAACAAATTTAAAAATAATAATAACTTTAAAGGTACAATGGATCCGAATAGATCTAGGATAAAATTATGTAGGATAATCATATGTACATATAATTTATAACATATTGATCAAAGAATGTCATGAAATTAAATCTTGCCAAATTTATATATTTTGTTATTAGTTACTTATGGTATAAAAAACAATATTAATAGAAGGAAGAATGAACGATTAGATGAATATTTTCACTTCGAAAAAACATATGCATGTTTACATTTTTCACATTTTACATCTTATTTATATTAAATTAAATTAATTTGAAAATCAATTAATATTTTAAATATAAACTAGGGATATATAGCATGTTGGGCTTAAAATATAATAAAGAAAAAAATAAAAAATTTGAACTATAAACACATATTGAAATTTCTGGGTTTGGTGACGCGTTACCTATAAAAGTGCAAATAAGTGGTATAAAATTTATATTATAGCGAAATACTATAACAATCGTAATTGTACTTATCGAGTGATAGATAAAAGTCTAAAAGATATAAAAATTTCAAATTTTAATTATTTGCAATAAAGTAGGTTTGAAACCAAAATATGAGTTTGTATAATAGGTAGGAATTAATACAAAATACAAAAATTAGATTAAAAATACATAATAAATTTATGGGTTCGGGTTACCCAACCCAACCCAACCCAACCCAACCCGTTCTTAATTCTTAAGATCTTGAAGAAAGGGTTGGGTAAAACTCCATGCGGAAAACACAACCAAATCCAGGCCCGTATTTTTCTCATTCTGACATGGAACTTTAAAATGCATCAGTTCTTAATATCACTACATTACCATACATGTCAAATATTGGAATATTTTTGGGGTCAAGGGGTTTGATTCTTCTGTAGTCGTAGGTTCGAATCACAAGAACGATTATTAATATTGTTGGTCACATATCGCAGAACTTTTCTTATTTTTGAAACTTTATTTGGGGTTGAAGGATTAATCAAAGTACGCGTAAATTGGCCTAAACATTCTAGATAACGTAAAAATTATTGGTATATTTTTATTTTTCTTTATTATTACAAAAAAAATAAAATAAAATAAGGCCTTTGATTAAAAAATTTAAGACGAAAAAAGTAAAATCAGAAAAGAAAATGGTGACTATAAAAAACACAATAATGGCACCATCACAGCGAACCCAACTTGAATGGTTTCGAGGAGCACCAGAGACTATCAGTTCTCGTTAGCCAAATTACCGAGGGCTATGATTATCCCTGGTTCAGTGGCAGATGAGGCTGGCATAACAATATGACCAAAATGTTCAGCAGCTGCGTCTTCCTCATTAAGCGGAAAGCTATTAACAAAAGTGGAAAATATCACCCTCCATCAATTGCTTCAATCTCTAAATGCAGCATTGGCTCGAAACATATTTGATTCAGGGATCTCCTTCTTCAAACTTCCCATTAGCACATCACATGCTTTAATATTGGAGAACACAAAAGAATTCGATCCTAGGTGAACTCCTATAAATTTGGAGTAGTACTATTCTAGTTTTTCAGAAACAGAGAGTGGACCCTCCCAACGTTAGAATATTCCTTCAATGTTAAAATGCACTTCCCCAACTCACTTGCAATGCAAAAATCCTTCTTTCTGTACTTTGTAGTTTTGCGGCAACTTCAAACCGATACTCCTGAAGAGTTTGGGCCCTCGCACAAGAGAACTGGAACGACATCGTTTAGTGTTCAGTTGAAAGGATGGCATTTCAACTGGAACCAGAACGACATTGTTTTCCGTTTAGTTGAAACGTCGTCGTTTGGAGGGGAAGTAAAACGTTGGTAGTTGCTATTTACTAAAACAGCATGGTTGTACGTAATATCATTTAACTCCCTTGTGGCTTAGTAAATATCAATAAAGCCCAACTTAATTATTCTTAATTTCTTATGGACTTAAGTGATATTGGCCATTAAGCATATGAAACGATATTGTTTTTTGTTTTAGCGAAACGACGACATTCTGACTAGGTGGGAACTTGGACAACATCGTTTTTGGACAACATCGTTTGGAGGGGAAGCAAAATGTTGTCGTTTGATATTTACTAAAATGCTGTCGTTTGACGTAATAACATTTAACTCCCATTGGCTCGGTAAATATCATTATCCCTATCTTGAGTAGAGCTGGGCATTTGGGACCAGACCCAAAAGCCCAACATCAAAACCCGGTCCTGAGAGGACCGGTCCTAGGAGATCTGATCCCAAAACGGGACCAGGCCTAAGGAGGAGGGCCCGGGCCTGGGCCCAAATTTTTTTTTACCTTTTATCATTTTAGTCCTTTGTAAAATTATTTAAACCCCCTAAAATAAGTAAAAATTATAAGGACTAAAAACTTTTTTACAAAATTTATTAAAAAAAAAAATTTACTTTTTATAACCATTGGCTGCCAACGGTCACAACTCACACCAACGATTATAAACTTATAATTATAAGTTTTTTTTTTCATTTCCCCCCCCCACAACTACACTATAAATAACCCTAAAACCTTTAATTTTTTTCACCCCAATCAATCTCTCATTCTTTCATTCTCTCAATCTCTCCACTCCAAATCTCCAATCAATTTCTCATTCAATTTATATTTATAATTTATTTATATTATTCAAATTTTTTTCTATTTTTCAATATCATCATAATTTCATATTATTATTTAATTTCTTTTCATTTTAATTATTTATTATTTTATCATAAATTTATAATGTCTTCCCCAAATGAGTTTTACGTTCCATCCACCGAAGAAATTGAAGCCTTCAATCCATTTTCACCATTTCCTCCAGAGGATGCAGCTGTAATTCCACAACCACATTCGGTCGGGACGAGGTGTAGCCAAACACATGTGAGCTGCGAGTCAACGGGCACGGACATAGCCCAACCCCCCCGACCGTCAAAGAGGGTCGTGTCCGATGTCTGGCGATACTTCACCAAATCAAAACGGCCAAAGACAAATGGGGAGGGGGAAGAATCGTGTGGGATATGTAATTTATGCGGAACCATTATTGGGGCTGAGAAGGGGACTTCGACGATGCGACGACACGTAGAGAAGAAGCATCCCCAAATAAATGCATCTTCAAGCGGATCAGGTAGACAAATTCAAACTCAACTTAATTTTAATCCACAATCCTCAACTCTCTCAACATGGCAATACAATACACATGTTGCACGAGAGGAAATAGCAAGATATATAGTTGCTACGGACTCTCCCATTTGTTTATCTGAAAATCCTTTTTTTGTTAATATGGTTAAAACTGCATTTTGTCCAGCATATACCCCTGTTAGTAGAACTACAAGTAGAAGAGATATACTAAAACTTTATAACAAAATAAATAATAAACTTAAAAACGAATTTCAAAATTTTAGGAATATATCTATTGCACTTACATCAGACATATGGGCTTGTAGATCAAAAACCGATTTTTTAACTGTTACAGTACATTTCTTAGATCATAATTGGGGTTTACAACAAAAATTGATAGGTTTTAAACCATTATATGAAAAACATAGTGCTGAAACTATTTATTTTACAATTCTTGAAGTTTTGCAAGAATATTTATTAACTGATAGAGTTGTAGCGCTAACGCTTGATAATGCAGCTGCTAACACCGCGGCAATATCTTTATTTGAAAAGAAATTGGATTCGCTTGGTGAAGGCAAATTTTATCACCAGAGATGTGCTTGTCACATCATCAATTTGATAGTTAAAGCAGGTTTAGATGCTATACATTCAAGGATTGAGAGGGTGCGTAGAGCTATCGGATTTATCGTCGGCGGTAGCAATAAAAGATGGCAGGAGTACGTCAAATATTGTAAGCAAGAGGAGCCACCGGTTCGACCTTTGAAGTTATGTACAGACATGCCTATCCGTTGGAACTCTACCTACTTGATGTTGGAAAAAGCTTTGCCAACCGCGAAACAAATTACAGATTTCGTCAACCGGAAGAACTATCCAGAGGAAGTTGTCAACTATGATGATTGGGCGGTTTGTGAACTTTTTTATTCATTTCTTAAAATTTTTTATGATGCTACTAATACATTAAGTGGTATTTATTATCCAACTACTAATTTAGTGTTAGATATTTTAGTTCAAATTGCTAAAACTTTTGATCAATATAGACATGATAACATTTTTAGTGAAATTGTTTCAAGTATGGAAGAAAAATATAAGAGATATTGGTTAGATATTCCATTCTTATATGGATTAGGCCTTTTTCTAGATCCTATGTTTAAATTATCCGTAGTTAACGGTGTAATTACTGAGTTAGGCCATTATTTAGGACATGATTATACGTCTTATTTGATTGACTTTAAACACAAATTGGATAGACTTTTTTCTTTATATGAGAACAGATACAATGGAAGTAGAAGTGGAAGTGGAAGTGGAACGTCTAGGAGAGGCGATCAGGACCTTGATGCAGCCCCCCCTCAAGGATCGAGCAAGTGGACGTATGTGGGACGTGGCGGAAGCTCCAGCTCCAGCTCGTACATACATAGACCAAATGAGATGACTCGTTACCTACAAGTGGACTTGACCTTTATGACGATGAAGGAGCAACTTGACATGGATATTCTTCAATGGTGGAACCAACAAGAAAGTCAATTCCCCATTATATCCCAAATGGCACGTGACATTTTATCTGTGCCGGTTTCTACAATGGCATCCGAGTCAACATTTTCAACGAGTGGTCAGATTGTTGAAGACAAAAGATGTTCTTTAACCGATGAGATGATTGAAGTGATAACGTGTTTACGGGATTGGACTCATGCAGAAAGAAGACTACAACAGCACCCTGAAGATCCCGAACTACTCGAACTCTTTAGGAATACAGATTTGAATAATGTAACTAGTGTTGAAGATGAATAATTTAATAAAAAAAATTATTTAATTGTTTATTTGTGAAGCGTGAATGTGTGAAATGTGAATATTACATTTATGTTAAAAATTAAAAATAACTATTAATTTATTATTTTTTAAAATTAATTAAATTTTTAGAAACTTACTAATCAACCCCTAAAAAATACTAAAAATCCCCTATAAAGTTTTGTTTTGCCCCCAAAATATAAAAAAAATTGAGGGGGGAACATAAAATTATCCAAACCCCATGGGACCGGTCCTAGGACCTGTCCTGGGCCCATGGGACCAGTCCCGACCAGGCCTTAGGCCTGGTCCAGGTCCTAGTTTCTCTCATGGGCCTGGGACCAGTCCCAGGCCCATGAGTGACTGGTCCCATTTGGGACCAGTCCCAAGGGACCGGTCCCTTGCCCACCTCTAAATTCTTGAGTATTCTTGATGGAGTTAAGTGATATTTGCCATGAGGAACATGAAATAATATCTTTTCCAGTTCTAGGAAACGACGATGTTTGGGCGGGAACTTGGACGACATGTTACCGCCAGTATGTAGAATATCATTTAAGTCCCTTGTAGCTTGGTAAATATATAAAGCCCTTATTTTAAGGATTCTTGATGGACTTAAGTGATATTTGCCATGAGGAATATGAAACGATATCATTTTTTAGGTTTGCTAGATGGCGGCGTTCCTTCTGTAACTTGGACAACATTGTCTCGTGTATAGTTGAAACGTTGTCATTTGGATGAGAAGCAAAATGTTGGCTATTGAAACAGCGTCATGCTACTGTCTATCATTGAAGTCCTTCATGTCTCGATAAATATCAATAAAGCCCCACTTTTTATGATTCTTATGGACTGAAATGGTATTAACCATGAGGAACATGAAACGATATTGTTTTTCTGTTTTGGCGAAACGACGACATTCCAGAGTGAACTTGGATGGCATCGTTTTTTGTTTATGTGAAATGTCGTCGTTTGGTTGGGAAGCCAAACATTGTCATTTGCTATCTAATGAAATTGTCTTGTTCTACGAAATATTTAACTCCCTTGTATCTCAGTAAATAACAAATAAAGCCCCTATTTTAGGATTCTTAATGGACTTAAGTGATATTTGCCATGTGCAACGTGAAATGATATCGTTTTTGGGTTCTACGAAACAACGGAATTCCGATGGGAAATTGGACGACGTTGTTTTGGGTTAGTTGAAACATCGTTGTTTAGAGGTGAATCAAAACATTAGCATTTGCTACTCAAACGATGTTGTTCTGCTGAAAATTATTTATCCCCCTTATGTTAGGTAACTATCAATAAAGCACCTGGTTTTTAGGAATCTTGTGACTTAAGTGATATTTTCCATGATAAATTCAAACATCATCGTTTCTGTTTTGGGATAAAACGAAGTGGTTTTACTGTTTACCATGGTTTTTAAAACAACACCTTTTAGTCTTCCACCGAGTCATTTTAGCGGTATCCAAACGACATGTGAATTCTTTTTTAGGCCGAACGACATGCACCCACCCATAGTTATGCACACACCCATAGTTCGGCATAAAGACAATTTGGTACTCGAAAGGTTTGAAAATGATAATTACCCACTTTCTGTCCAAATCTATTAGTAAAATCAGTTTAACTAAGGACAATATAGTAATTTTATATCTAACCAAAAAATAAACTTTAATATTCATCATTACTTTTAAATTAATCCATAAACCCCTAATTTTTTTTATTTCCTTTTTCTCTTCTCTCTCTTATCCTTCTTCTTGATCTCTCCCTTCTCTTTCTATCATTTCTTGTCCGTCTTTTCCCTCCTCCCCTTCTCTTTTTTTCCTTTTATTCTCCCTCTTTTCCCAAATTCATCGAGATTCGCCAGAAAAAATCACCTCCCATAAATATAAACACAATTGAAATTCATCCCCATCTTAACACCACATTCAAAATTCATTCTCCATCTCAACTTCATAATCAAATTCATCTTCCATCTCAACTAAACAATCATGTAAGAAAAAAAAAATCAAAAATCAAACCCATAAAACCTATTGCTGAAACCTATGAAAAAGAAAAATAAAATTGTTATTGTCTCGGTGGGGACCTCCACCAGCTCCAAACTCGTCACCAGAACCACCAAATACAACCATCACCATCACCACCGCCACAAACCACCACAAATTTCAAACACTTCTAACCCAAACTGTAAAAATTTGAAAAAAAAATTAAAAGTTAAAAAATTGAAGAGGAAAAGATGGGTTCTTGCCTAGCGGCCAAAGGGAAAATAGGGTGAAGAAAAGGGAAAAAGAGAAGGGGAGGAGGGAAAAGACGAAGAAGAAAGAAAAGAAAGAGAAGGGAGAGATGAAAAAGAAGGATAAGAGAAAGAAAAGAAATAAGATAAACAAAAATTAGGGGTTCATGCATTAATTTAAAATTAATGATGAATATTAAAGTTTATTTTTTGGTTCGATATAAAATTATTATATTGTCTTCAATTAAACGAATTTTACTAATAGAGTTGGATAGAAAGTAGGTAATTGTCATTTTCAAATCTTTCAAGTATCAAATTATCTTCGTGGCAAACTATAGGTGGGTGCATGTCCTTCGGCCTTCTTTTTTAACAGCAAGTCATTGGTTTTGTAAAATATTCGCTGAACCACCAATAAAGTACGTAAAGATATAAAAGGCCATGAAACTAATTCCTGGGGGACTGTTAAAAACGGCTGGCCGTAAACTGACATTTTATTTTATTTATTTTTTAACAAACTACATTTCACTGATCAATCGACCTATCAAAAAGACCCTTGGTTTTTTATTATTACTGTACGTAAATAACATTTACTCTTTGGAAACGGAATCCTCCTTCCATTCTTAAAATGAATATCTTAATTAAGCTTAGCAATGTAATGTATACTAAACTGATAGCTGTTTCTGAGTCGATAAGTTTGGTAAACCCTGACAGAGTTTTCCATTTGAATAAAGGTGGTAAAAGGTAATCATATGTAAGAATATTCTTCTGGAATGAATGGAGAACCTGATGCAGCTGGCAGCTGCTGCAATTAGAGAAAGAGAAGCTGATATCATATCATATTTGCGGTTTCTTCAAATTCAACTGACACAATACTGTTCTTAATCAGAGGACTTGCTCCTTAAATATGAAATTTTAACTAGAAATTGTCAAACCTACACAATTTTGGTCATTCATGCATGCAAAAATCTGAAATTTATTTACCATGTCAAGTTTGAATTGCTGCATCTTCAATAAATTTCACTTTTGTGGCTTCTTTTGAGCTTAATTAATTAAAAACAAAACTGTTTACTAATTAAATTTCAAAGAGCAATTTTTCCAGTCTCCAAACTGTTAATGAATTTCCTCCATATTCAGAATACGAACTCTGATTTGGGACCCCCCATCTTATATGAGATACAGGAGAATTTAACAAGGATTTTTGACCTTTACTTTGTATACGGAGTTGCTCAAATTTTGTGTATAATTAATTTTTGTCGATGCTCTATATCAGATTAATCAGTCGTCCCTGGAACACAGGAAATGCATACAGCAACAGATACAAAATAAGCTTACCCAGGATCCTTGAGTGTTACTAACATTAGCAGCAGCACAATTTAATAAAATAGCAGTTGCAGTTATTGTATTAACAGACAAGACTTAAGAGCATGACAAAAATCTTATTCATCTGATTCTTTGATTGGAGTTGAGCATACTGATGAACATTGGATCAAAACTCATGTATGTGTTGTGCTCACGAAGTCTTTCAAAATATGACCTCCTCAATCCGTTCTTTCTAGCAATATCTGAGCGGACCCAACTTGGTTGCTTCCCCGGAGCGCCAGTGACTATCAAGGATGTGGACTCGTTAGCCAAATTGCTGAGAGCTATAAGTGTCTCTGGTTCAGTGGCCGATGATGCATCAACAAGAAAAATATGACTAAAATGTCCAGCAGTTACGCCTTCATTACGAAGCCTAAAGCTACTTGCAAAAGTTGAAAATATGACCCGAAATTCCCTCAATTTCTGAACTGAAGGACAAGAAAAGCACTCTCCTTCGTAAAGACAAATGGGGAGGATATCATCTGGTACCCCATTTATCTCTCTAAATGCAGCATTGGCCTGAAACATTTCTGACACTGGAATCTCCTCCATCAAACTTGTCATTAGTACATCACAGGTTTTGTTTATAGGAGCACATATGAGAATTCGATTCTTAAGTGAGCTGCAATAAATTGCGAGTACTGCTTCTCGAACAACCATTCCAGTTTTTGATAGTTGTCTGTCAGTTACTGAAAGTGGACCCTCTACAAGATAAGGTGGTGAGCCTTGAAAGTTTAAGATCTGATGAACTGCTAAGAATTGATCCGAATCAAGATAATTATTGCGTTTTAAAATAGGCTTTGATTCAGGGTCATTCTTTCGGGAGGCACAATCAGGAAAAAGATAGTTCTGGAGTAAAGGATCAGATGCTGCTGCAATTGCTTGGTGAGCCCTTTTCAAACACACTCTGTTGAACGAGAAGCTAATGTCGTACTTGCAATCTGAATGATGCTGAGAATAAAAATCTTCTTCAAATTCAACCAGCACAATATCACTCTTCACCACTCGGTAAATTAATCCCTGGACCAAATTAGAGAACATAAATATTCTGAAGAGATAGAGATATGAAAACAGAAAAGAAAATGACTGGATTTGATATGAGCTACATAATATCTTGGCTATCTGATCAAATTCTTTCAAGCTTAACTTATAAAAAGAAACCAAGATGTATGAACTTTTTTTGTCTAAATGGAAATGCCTTGGGAAAGATGAAATGAATAACAAGGAAATAGCATTCTGTACTGATTTTGGTTGATGTACCTAAAATAGACATTAAAGTCCAAATACTATAATCTATTTGTAAATACAGCAGTTGTTCCTATTTCAAACTGAATAATGGTTCGAAAGAAAAAATTTAGTCAATCATATTCATCTATGCATCATCAGTACATTTTTGTTGGCAAGTCAAAACATGCCTTTTATACTACTACTAAGACATCTATTACACATCAAGTAAATATAATGATAGAGGAAGAAAAGTGTTAAATTCAAATACTAATGTTGGATTCTTACCTAATAGTTTAAGCCTCTGAGTTAAGTGGTTATTTAACATGATATGACAGCCCTAATTGCACAAAAATGGGTGGAAATGAGAATGTAATAATCCTGGTTGATTACTGATGTACCTCAAATGTAATTTTTATTCTGCTCCATAAGTGGATTCTTTTCTTTATGATGAATGCATGAAATAATATTAAGTTATAAATATTATTCGGAAACAAAGAATATTCAGCTGCCACTACTATGTCTGCTGTTGAGAATAAAATTTATGTCCACCGCTTTTCATCACTTGTATCAAATCAGGAGAATGTTATGTATTGACACCCTTTCTTGAGAAGGGTGAAAAAAAAAATTAAAAGCTGCAATTAGAATTATAGTTAAGACAGTTGAAAATATAAGGAGAAAGAAACAGAAATTAGATCTTCAATCTGAATAACCATTTTTATCACTGGACTACGGCCAGAGATTCTCCATATCACATGTTAGAAAGTTCAAGAGACTTACTTGAAACTTTGATTCATTGCCTGCAGGTCGTGCATAGACAAAATCCCTAGATAAAAGAAACGGTCGTCTCTCAGGAACAGAGTCAATCTTAAAAGCTACAAAGACTTTATCATCCTTTTCATCAAACTTGTCCTTGAATGACTTCTTATATTTCGCCGCTTCATGCAACTCCAAAGTTACATTTGACAATGAAACCCGCTCCACTTCTGATAAAATGAAAATATAATTACCTAAACAATTAGAAATTATGGAAACAATTATAGACGAAAGTCTAGTGTTTTTCAGTCCATTGCAAATCTCTTACACCCATACTCTATAAAATGTATGATTCATATAGAAAAATCACACATAAGAATAAAGATAACAGAATGCTCTAATTAAAATATAATTTGACTGCATTTAAAAATTTAAGATAAGAACCTTTTACATCTCTGCCACATCCCATAACAAAGGGTACTAGAACTTTTATTGGGTGATTTATATTGACTGAGAACAACCATTATTCCTAAAAATAAAGCTTAAGAGAAAGAGTGCAGACAGATGTATACTCGCTCACATTTTCATGCTGCCAACTGACAAAAACCTAATTCAACCCCCTTTCGAGCTGCCAATGCATGAGGGAAATGAAACTCTAGGCTCAATCCAAACCCAATTCAATGGCTGCAAGACCTTATCCTGTCCATTTTATGAGTTCAAAGTGCTAGTCCCCATCTCCCTGTCTTAGCCTTAAGATGCTTACTCACTGAACCTAAAACGTCTTTATATTGTCTGAAGTGTTCCAAATTCCAATTGAACTTTTACTGGCAATGGGAAACAACTTAAGAGATTACAGATTATCAGTTGCGAACGATTATACCTAATAGAGCAACAGCTTCCCAATAATATCTATTAAATATTTCACTACAATCACAAGAGTTATATAATTCTAATATAACCTTGCATACTCTAATAAATTATTTTCTTTTGTACTAAAATTCTGGCATGAACAAGTTAAATAGATTCTTCAAGTAGTTCCAAAACCACATAATTTGGCTAAATCCAGGCTAACTCTACTAAAATCCATTTTTATGGAGCTTCTAGTACGGTCCTGCTTCAATCTGATTTATTATACAAGGTTATATTGGTAATAGGTTCCATTAACATGAGTAGCTAGATTACTTTCATCTAAAATCAATTTTTTTGCAATTTAAACATGAATAAGTCATAGTGCACCAAAAGCATCAAATATTTCTTCAATGAGCAGCAGGTATACACAATATTTATGGCAGAAATGAAGTTATTTTTAATTAAAAACTGAAATATTTATAAGAAAAAGCATTGTATATTTTTCACCTCAATATAGAAATCCTCGGCATGTAACAGGGCAGCAAAGTAATCCTTATAGGTTGAAGGAGACAATGGCTTCTTCAGAACATTAGGCACAATGTCTTTCTTGATCAAATCTTCAATATCATTGGGAATCATGTAATTTGGTGACGTGCCCTTCGGAACCCTCATATATATAGCTTTTGTATGCTGATTTCTTGAATTAAAGGGGAGTGCAGACAGAGTTGGCTTAGAAGGTGGAGTTTTCTTCAGGGAGGATGGAGGCAGCTCAGAGGAAGATTGGGGCATATCACATGAAGACGGAGATCCTTTAGTCGGAACCCACATATATTTATCTTTTGTATGCTGATTTCTTGAATCAAAGGGGAGTGCAGACAGAGTTGGCTTAGAAGGTGGAGTTGTCTTCAGGGAGGATGGAGGCAGCTCAGAGGAAGATTGGGATAAATCACATGAAGACAGAGATGCTTTAGTTGGAACCCACATACATTTATCTTTTGTATGCTGATTTCTTGAATCAAAGGGGAGTGCAAACAGAGTTGGCTTAGAAGGTGGAGTTGTCTTCAGGGAGGATGAAGGCAGCTCAGAGGAGGATTGGGATAAATCACATGAAGACGTAGACGCTTTAGTGAGAGATGGAGATTGCTTCAGTGAACATGGTAACGGCTCAGCAGATGATAAAGGATGACCAAAAGTAAACGGAGGTGCTTCAGGTGAAGATAAGGACTGTCCAAGAGAAGATGGTGGGGATTTAGTGGACGAAGAAGATGCAGAAGAAGTTATTGAAGGTTTAGTCAGTGTTGGAGATGATGGAACAGCTATAGTTGAAGATAGTGACGGCTTAAGAGAAGACAACGGGGGTTTAGAGAATGATAATGACTTTGTAGTAGATGAAGAGGCTTTTGGTGGCAAAGAAAGTGGTTTAGAAGAATGTGATGTGGAATTAGAGAATGATGAATATGGTTTAGAAGATGACACAGATAGATTAGAGGAAGATGGAGGAGCTCCAGTTGAAGACAGAGACGGCTTGTGAGAACATGATGGAAGTTTAGAGAATGATGATGATTGTGTAGAAGATGAAGAACTTGATGTGTGTTGAGCTGAAGATTGAGAGACTTCGGGAGCCCTTCTCAGATTTGATTGAAGAGATGCAGCATTAGGCTCTTTTGCAGTTGAGTTACTGATTGATAAATTTAGGTAATCTTCATAGTAGTAAATTATGGTTGGATCAGATTGGCGTGGCAGATCATTGCAACTTGGGGAAGAACTCACCTTCACAGAAGTTTCAGAAGAAACTCCATCATCTCTATCATTTTTATCTTTTGCATTGCGACCAAATACAAATCCCAATATTTGAAGAAATACAGACATATTGTTCTGCAATCAAAGAAGAGGCATTTATGCATCATATCATTCCATCATACAATCATTTCACACAGTTTTTAGTCTTATAAAAATGAAAATCTTTACTCCACTAAGACTAAACGGGGGTTTAGAGAATGATAATGATTTTGTAGTAGATGAAGAGGCTTTTGGTGGCAAAGAAAGTGGTTTAGAAGAATGTGATGTGGAATTAGAGAATGATGAATATCGTTTAGAAGATGACACGGATTAGATGAAGATGGAGGAGCTCCAGTTGAAGACAGAGACGGCTTCTGAGAAGATGATGGAGTTTTAGAGAATGATGATGATTGTGTAGAAGATGAAGAGGCTTTTGGCGGCGAAGAAAGTGGTTTTGAAGAATATGTTGTGAAAGAGAATGATGAACATGGTTTAGAAGATGATACAGAAGGATTAACTGAAGGTGGAGTCTGTTTAGCTGAAGAGGAGCTGCTTAAAGTTTGAGATACTTCACCAGCCCTTTTCAGTGGCTTGTTATTGTATTTTGATTCAAATGACGCATTATTAGGCTGTTTTGCAGTTGATTTGCTACTAGTTGGTAGATTTGGGTAAAATTCGTAATAATAAATTTTGGGATCAGATCGGCGTTGAAGATGATTACAACTACGAGCAGAATTGCTCCTAACAGAAATGTCATAAGAAGCTGACTGAAGGAAAGGGTCTCTTTGAGAAGTCTCGTCATAATCACCATGATGAAATTCGTCATCGCAACAAGGAATGCATCGTAAAATTTCAAGAAACACAGACATGTTTTTTCTGCAATCAATAAACAGGCATTTATACATCTGATTCTTTCCTTCATTTAGTTGTTCAGAAAAGTCTGACTTAAACTCCGCAGTTTTTTGTTTTATCAAAATGAAAATTTCAACTCCACCAAGTTCAGACCAAACACGTAATTCATCTTATCTCCTGGACAAAAATACAGAGAGTGATAACTTAAACCCCTAAAGTTTAGTTGATGAGAGAAGTAAAGCTTAACAATTAATACTTGAGAAACTTAAACTAAGGGCAAATACAACATAAATGTACTCTTCTTTCTCTTAGAGAATAAAAAAACTGAACAATCTAAAGAACAAAAGACATGCATGATGATGATATGAACACTGAAACAGTAAAGATTGAACTACCAACCATTGCTAGTGTAAAGAAAAAAAACTATAAAAAGTAAATTACGATTATAAAAAGAAAGAAGACTTACTTATATGGTTAGAGGCAGATGGGATCTGTGATGAACTATATGTTAAAAGAAACAAGAAAATGTATAAAGCTTTTGTATAGATGAAGATGAATATGGCAAGACTAATAAATAGTTGTGTATGAAAAAGAAATACTTTTCTTCCTTCCATATAAAGCAACCAACTCGGAGTGTTACCACGTCATCAAGAGTGAGAATATGACGCGGAGTTAAGACTAAAGTTGACAGTGAGTGAAAGCGCGCTGACCAAATACAACTTTTTTCCACACGTCAACGTTGCTTACTTTTCTTAACTCACAAGGAATTATTTAATGTCTTAAAAGTCTTAACTCGTAAAGAATTATCCTCGTATTTCTTCAACTTTTCAAACTATATCCTATTTCACTATCTCATCTCAAAAAACATAAAAAATGAGTTTATTTTAATTTTAACTATCCAATTCAAAATTCAACCATATTCTATTTAACTTAAAAGCATTTAATAATTATTTTTTCAATAAAAATTTATAAATTAACAAAAACTCATACTCACCCAAATAAGAGTCATCCACTATGTAATAACCCTCTCTAGCTAGTATACTTTGAAAAAATATATTTTGAAATCACTAAATATATTATAGAAAACATAAATGTACATAAATATAAGATAGTGGGTCCAAAAATAACATTATTTTTATATACAAATCTCTACATCAAATACCATAGTCACAAAAATAAACTCAAAATACAGCCAGACAATGTTGCCTTTCTCCTTCGCTATTTGATGTCGGATCCGACCGCATCTCATCTACTACTTGCGAAAACAGTGAAATAACGGGGTGAGCACTAATTGCTCAATAGGTAAACCTACAATACTTCTATTCTTTCTCTGTTACTCAGATCTTGGATTTTCTTTCCTCACACCAAACTTCTCAATTCTTTTTTGCCCTTTATAAGATTCTAGTTTCTCACTTACCAATATCTAAACACAAATAGTGAAACTAACTCGGGATAGTAGAAATGACATGATGCATATACACAAATGCATAAACTTTTTCAATGCATTGCATTTTCTTTTCTATTTTCTTTCTTTTTTCTGCATTTCTTTCTTTTTCTTTTTCTCTTATTTCTTTTCTGTTTTTCTTGCTTTTCTATTCTTACTTTCTTTTTTATTCTTTTCTTTCTTTTCTTTTTCTATTCTTTTCTTTCTTTCTTTTCTTTTATTTTCTATTCTTTCTTTGCTTATCGAACTTGATTAAGGCATGGATTCAGAATCCTGATCGTATGAGTAGGTACAGTCCTCATCTACATGCACTTCTAACAGACTGTACAAATTCTTCTCTCTTATTCTGAGGCCGCTCACTAAAGGCGGCGTGCATATGGGTTATTCTTCTTCTCGGTCGCTCACGGGTTCCTCATCACAACAACCTTCTCTTCTCTTATCTTTTTACATTTCTTTAAATAAAATTTCAAATTTGAATTATTGTTTAATTATGTTCTTTAGAGGATGATTATACAATTTATTTCTTTTCTTTCTTCTCTTTATTCTTTAATGTTCTCATACATGTATATGTGCATAGAAATATCCTCATTCTTTGCTATTCTTTCTAAATACAAATGTGAGAATGCATTATGGCATATAAAGATATCATTAGGGAACTAGTATTCTCTACCAACAATATTCCCATACTTGAAATCAATCATAAATTATTAGACTAAAAATAAATTAATAAATTGGAAGCACTTTTGAGATAGTCATTTTGGATAAGTCATATTCAAAGAGGCATATCTCGACTTATATATATCGGATTGCTATGATCTTGGTCTCATTTTAAAGCTTAGAGAAGGGCTACAAATTTTATGTTTAAGTCTTAACCCAGTTCGATATGTAAGATGCTCAAAAATCACTCAGAAAGCCACAGATTTGACAGAGCAACCATGGTAACATGTTTTCTCTTAGGATTTTCATCAAACAATTCATATGCACATGCAAATACTAAGTTGCCTACACTTCCACATCTTTCTCAAGCCACCAAACAAGAGTAAGAACTCCCTAAAGCCAACAATCAACCTAGCTGAAATTCTTCCTCCACCTTTCCACATCCATACTTTCATTTTTCATCCAAAATTCCATCAACTCAACATATACAAATACATCAATTATCATCATATATCAATAAATCAATTCTCATCCCATACTAATAAATCAATTCTCTACACATACTAATGAATCAATTTTTCATCACATACTAATAATTCACTTCCCATCATATACTAATAAATTACTTCTCATGGTCATGAAATTCACATATCAAACAACCTCAATTTTCAATCCATAATTTCTCATTATCCAAACACACATACAACATAAAATAAATTTCTCTACACAACTTCTGATTAAATGAAGGCTAAAGTTGGATTTACTTACCTTGAATTTAAGCAACTCTAACACTATAATCTCTCTTTGGTAGAATTCCCTTTCCTCTTTGTTACAGATGTATATTTGGTAGTTATAAGTTACATATATTTAGAAGTTAATTTCCAGGATTATAGGGATCACATTGATATTTTATCCTAATATAGATTGATCACATACTTAGTTTAGAACACTGCAAGTGTGTATATATATGTATTCTTTTTCTCTATGAATAAGACAAGAAGAATATTCATTCTTAATACTTGTTACATGGTATCAGAGCCAGGTTCCGATCCTAGGACCTGTGGGTTATGGGCCCACCACGCTTCCGTTGCACATATACAACCATAAGAATTCAAAACTTTAAAATTAAATCTCACTTCTTGGTGCAAGAATCTTACCTTTGGATGCTTAGAATTAAAAATCTATCAAAATCTAGCCAAAATCCTATGAATTTCCTTAGAAATTTAGTGAAGAAATTTGAGAGAATTTGGGTAGAGAAATGGCATGAATGGAGGGGTAGAGTGGATAGGGTTTCTCCTCTTGCACTGTTATAAATAATAATAATAATATTATATATATATATATATACTGATATTATATATATATATAGTTAGTTAGTTAGTTAGTTTCCCATTTTACCCTTGCACTTTCTAAAAATTTTATCTATGACCCTTAGTCAATTACAAGAATGCTCTCATTTTTATTATCTTCTCCATGTTATTCTACTTCTTTGCACTCCCCACTTTTTCAACTAATTATGAGTGAAAAGACAATTTTACCCCTAGTGAAGTTTTAAAGAATTTTCTTCACACTTTTCAAGATAACTTTAACAAAATTCAACTAAGGGTATTAGAACATAAATAAAGTTACGTACCTTGATGTGGGCATTATACACTAGCAACCATTGTTAGGCATCGCCAGTGAAATGATCCACGATCGGTCAGATCTGATCGATCGTGCGCCAATCTGGATGTTTCTAGCTAGATCTACGAATAGAGATTTGGTCGTATCTATCTGGCTATTGATGACAGCCATATCATGGCAGTCGTTGATGGCTAGATTTTGGCTGTTATCGTTAACGATAACCAGATTATGGCCATAGATCTAGCCATTTTTGGCTAAATATATGGTGGATCTAACTAGAAAAAACCAGATCGGTGCACGACCGACCAAATCCAATTGGTCGTGCGCCATTCCAATGACTACAGACCATCGTTTAACAAATATAAAGGGTTAAAAAATACTCTATATATTTTCAAAAAATGTTTTCTAAAAATGTACCAAACACATTTTCATAATCTTATCCTATTTGATTAAATCTTATCCTATCATATTGAGAATAGAATATTAATTCAAAAAATATACCAAACAGGCCTATGTCTTAATATTTTGTAAGTATACTGATAAGGTGTTCAGGCTAGTTTGTGCGTACCTCAATTAATCCTGGGGATCTATTAAACACCCTACAAGCCCAAAGGACCAGATAAGCCACAATATTATTGTGGTAGATAGCCCCAAGGTTTGTATTTAGTAACTCAACGAAAGAAACAAACCTTCTTGATTGCCAAGCCAACCCCTTGGGGTTATTTTTTTTTTCAATTTTTGTTTTTTGTTACCAGGGTGTCCGATCCAGCCTACACACACCTTAATTAATCTTCAGGGTCTATTGAACACCTTATAAACCCAAAAAGACTAGGTAAGTTACAATGTTATTGTGGTAGATGGCCCCAAGGTTTGAACCCAAGAACTCAAGGAATAGAGCAAACCTCCTTAATTGCTAGGCCAATCCCTTGTGGTTCAAAATATCATTTATCTCCTTTGTGGCTAGATAAATTTCAATAAAGCCCCTATCTTAAGAATTCTTGTGGAGTTAAGTGATTTTGCCATGATGAAATTCAAAAGACACCGTTTTTATTTTGGGATAAAACGAAGCGGTTTTATTGTTTACTAGGGTTCTTAAAACACCTTTTAGTTTTCCACTGAGTTGTTTCAGTGGTATCCAAACGACATGTGATTCTTTTTGAATGTAACATTGTTTCTTTTGTAAAATATTTGCTAAAAAGTATGGAAATATATTGAAGCTCATGAAACTATGATTCGTAGGGGACCTCATTATATTTACCAATTTCTTTGAGGTTAAGAACTACTAGCCGTAAATTGACATCTTTGTTTTTTTTTTTTTTTTTTTTTTTTTAAACAAACGTGAGAATTTGTCAACGTGGCTAATTTCTCTTAACTCCTAAGGAATTATTATTTGTCTTAACTCCTAAGAAATTATCCCTATTTTTGTTTAACTTTTCAAACTTTATTCTACTATACTATCTTATCTTAAAAAGTAAAATACATATTTGTTTTAATATTGACTACTCAATTCAAAATTAAATCCTATTTTATTCAACTCTAAACATTTAACAATTACACTTCTCAATAAAAGTTTATAAATTAACAAAAATACCCCCACCCACCCAAGCAACAGTCGCCCGCCAACAACCACCGCCTGTTGCCGCCAGCCATCAGCATCAAAACGATGCACAATCAGTTGGATCTTGTGAGTTTAACAAGGATTTTTTACCTTTACTTTGTATACGGAGTTGCTCAAGTTTTGTGTATAATTTTTTGTCAATGCTCTATATCAGACTAATCAGTCGTCCCTGGAACAAAGCAAATGCATACAACATATACAAAATCAGCTTGTCCAAGATCCTTAAATGTTAGTAACATTAGCAGCAGCACAATTTAATAAAATAGCGGTTGCTGTTATCGTATTAACACTAACAGACAAGACTTGAGAGAATGACAGAAAGCTTATTCATCTGATTCTTTCATTGGAGTTGAGCATACTGATGAACAGTGAATCAAAACTCATGTATGTGTTGTGCTCACGAAGTCTTTCAAAATATGACCTCCTTAATCCGTTCTTTCTAGCAATATCTGAGCGGACCCAACTTGGTTGCTTCCTCTGAGCGCCAGTGACTATCACGGATGTGGACTCGTTAGCCAAATTGCTGAGAGCTATAAGTGTCTCTGGTTCAGTGGCCGATGATGCACCAACAAGGAAAATGACTAAAATGTCCAGCAGTTATGCCTTCATCACGCAGCCTAAAGCTGCTTACAAAAGTTGAAAATATGACCCGGAATTCCCTCAATTTCTGAACCGAAGGACAAGAAAAGCACTCTCCTTTGTAAAGACACGAGGGGAGGATATCACCCGGCACCCATTCTCTCTCTAAATGCAGCATTGGCCCGAAACATATCTGACTTTGGAATTTCTCCATCAAACTTGTCACTAGTACATCACAGGTTTTGATTTTAGGAGCACATATGAGAATTCGATTCTTAAGTGAGCTGGAATAAATTGCCAGTACTGCTTCTCGAACAACCATTCCAGTTTTTGATAGTTGTCTACAAGATAAGGTGGTGAGCCTTGAAAGTTTAAAATCTGATGAACTGCAGAAGTTTGATCCGAACCAAGTTTATAATTGCGATAAAGATTTGGTAGTGATGGAGGGTCGTTCTTCCGGGACGCACCATCAGGAAAAAGGTAGTTGTGGAATAAAGGACCTGATATAGCTGCAATTGCTTGGTGAGCCCTTTTCAAACACACTCTGTTGAATGAGAAGCTAATATCATATTTGCGGTCTGAATGATGCTGAGAATAAAAATCTTCTTAAAATTCAACTAGGACAATGTTGCTCTTCACCACACAATAAATTAATCCCTGCTCCAAATTAGACCACAATAGTAATCTGAAAATGATTAAGATACGAAACCAGAAACTACGTTAGGAGGACACTTACTTGAAATTGCTTGACAGTGCTGCCTACACGTCGTGCATAGACGAAGTCCCTGGCCAAAAGGAAGGGCCGTCTCTCCGGAACAGAATCAACCTCAAAGGCTACAATTCCCTTTCAAGTTCTCATTTTTGGGTGGCTTGTTATATGTTGTTGCTTTATGCAACTTCAATGTTACGCTGAACAACTTAAACTCGCTCCACTTCTGAACAAATTAAAGGACACAATTAGAAACATGGATAAAAGTCTAAAACTAATGATAATCAGAGAGAGAGAGAAAATTATTAGTATAAAACAGCAAATATGAAATAGCGTCGTTCATTTATCACCTCAATGTAGAAATCCTCGGCATATAGCAGGGCAGCGAAGTAATCCTTATAGGCTGTTGGAGACAATGGCTTCTTCAGAACGTCAGGCACAATATCTTTGTTGATCAAATTTTCAATGTCCTTGGGAATCATATAAATTGGTGATGTGGCCTTTTGAATCACTGTATAGTTAGCTTGAGTATGCTGATTTGTTGGATGAATGGGGAGTGCAGAGAGAGTTGGCTTAGAGGGTGGAGGAGCCTGCCGGGAAGATGATTGTGATAATAGAGGTTGATCAGAACGTATAGACTTCCCAAAAGAGGATGATGAAGATGCTATAGAGGGAGAGGGTATTGCAGGTTTAGGAAATGGTAATGATTGTGAAACAGACTTGGGGGCTTTTGGAGCTGAAGATAATGAATTAGAAGAAGTTGATGAATGTTTAGCTGAAGATTGAGAGACTTCGGGAGCCCTTCTCAGATTTGATTGAAGAGATGCAGCATTAGGCTCTTTCGCAGTTGAGTTACTGATTGATAAATTTGGGTAATCTTCGTAGTAGTTAAATATGGTTGGATCAGGTTGGCGTAGCAGATCATTGCAACTTGGGGAAGAACTCACCTTCACAGAAGAAAGTGGTTCAGAAGAATGTGATGTGGAATTAGAGAATGACGAATATGGATTAGATGAAGATGGAGGAGCTCCAGTTGAAAACAGAGACGGCTTGTGAGAAGATGATGGAGGTTTAGAGAATGATGACGATTGTGCTGAAGATGAAGAGGCTTTTGGCGTCGAAGAAAGTGGTTTTGAAGAATATGTTGTGGAAGAGAATGATGAATATGGTTTAGAAGATGATACAGAAGGATTAAATGAAAGTGGAGTCTGTTTAGCTGAAGAGGAGCTGCTTAAAGTTTGATAATAAATTTTGGGATCAGATTGGCCTTGAAGATGATTACAACTACGAGCAGAATTGCTCGTAGCAGAAATGTCATAAGAAGCCGACTGAAGGAAAGGGTCTCTTTGAGAAGTCTCATAATCACCATGATGAAATTCGTCAGCGCAACAAAATATGCGCCGTCAAATTTCAAGAAACACAGACATGTTTTTTCTGCAATCAATGAACAGGCATTTATACATCTGATTCTTTCCTTCATATTGTTCAAAAAAGTAACAGTAAAATTCTGACTCTTAAACTCCACAGTTATTTGTTTTATCAAAATCAAAATTTCAACTCCACCAAGTTCAGACCAAACATGAAATTCATCTTATCTCCTGGACAAAAATACAGAGAGTGATAAACCCCTAAAGTTTGGTTGATGAGAGAAGTAAAGCTTAACAATTAATACTTGAGAAACTTAAACTAAGGGCAAATACAACATATATGTCCTCTTCTTTCTCTTAGAGAATCAAAAAACTGAACAATCTAAAGAACAAAAGACATGCATGATGATGATATGAACACTGAATCAGTAAAAAGATTGAACTTTACCAAATACTTGCCAACCATGACTAGTGTAAAGAAGAAAAAACTAGGAAAAGTAAATTAATATTTTAAAAAGAAACGAGACTTACCTACGTAGTTAGGGGCAGATGGGATCTGTGATGAGTCATTTGTCAAAAAAAAAAAAAAAAAAAAAAAAAAATTGTATAAAGCTTTGATGAAGCTGAATACTGAGGGTAAATGAGAATTTGACTAATAAATAGTACACATTTTTCTTCCTTCCATTCCATATAAACTAACTCGAGGGACTAAAGTTGACAGTGTGTGAAAGCACGTCAACGTGGACTCCTAAGGAATTATGTTTATGTCTTAATATTTTGAAATTTTATTTTATTTTAAAACGTTGGAGAAAAAGGACAATCAAATCAAAATGCCAGTCAATAAAACTTATAGGTGTTAATCTGTAATTAGCTTTAACATATTTTTTAGCACACAAAATAGTATTTTAAAACCCGGCCTAGTCCGACTGGTTGAGCCAGTTCAACTTGGACTTGAGGTCTTATCGTACCAGGTTACTAATTTTACTATTAATTAAAAACCCTAGAAATTAGAACGTAGACCGATAAACAATTGAAGGTTTGGATGTTAGGGTTTTGAAGAGGAAGGGTCAATGAGTGGAATGGTGACGACAAATGTGATTTTTGGTGAGTGAATCAATTGAAAATTGCAAAAATAAATTGTCGGAAACAATTCACTGTTGTTGGCGATTGGTAAGGCAAATAGGGGAGGGGTGAGATTGGTTTTGTTCAAAAGGTTGGGAGGAGTGTTTTCATGGTGGAGAGTATTATTGTCATCAGAAACAAACCTTAATTAACCTTAATTGTCTATGTCAACGGTAGTGTTTAAGGTGTTTTTGCAAGATTTCAAAATTATAAAGACTTATAAAATTTTTAAAAGTGTTTTTAATAAATTTTAAACTTTTAGAGCCGACCACTTTACCGGGTTTCACTTTCATCCGAGGTTTGCTATTAAAACACCGATACAAATACACAAAACTAAATTTTTCGAGTAACATTATCATCCATTGGCACCACAAATGCTATAGAATCTATGTATATATTGTATCACATTCGGGCAAAAAATTATTTTCTTTCCAATGATTTCATCAAATTGCCCAAAACTTAATCAAAAGTAAAATGAAAATTAATTTAAAGGTCTTGGAAGTTGGAAACAATCAAATAAGAGCCAAATTTAAGAAATGCAATGCATGGAAAGCCTTTTATTTAGTTTTCCATAATATCGGCTATGGAAATTTGTTCAATTGCCCCGAAAAACAAGTTAAAAAAAAAAAAAAAAAAAAAATCACTGTCAAATTATTTCACAATTTCTCATGTTTTACAAGTCAAAACATTTCTACCCCAACTTCAGGAAAAAACTGGGGGTAAAAAAAAAGTAAAAAAAATTTGGAAAGTAAAATACATTAACCATGTAAGGTATAAATATTGCTCAATAAATCAATTAGTCAATTAGATACAGAATCTACTTGTACATTGAGGTCGTTGCACATCAAAAAGCTGGACTCCATTTTCATTCTCTGTAAAACTAAACAAAATCATCTATAATCTGCACCGACTGCTTCAACGATAGATTTGAAACCATCCCTTTCTAGGCATTGGGCCAGTTCGACCTACAGAGAAACACAATTCAATGAATAACATCAGACAACATGAGATATTGATAATAGCAAGTTAGCAACAGTGCACACAACTCTGTTTCAAGAAAATATTCTGCCACTTTTTTATATTCTAGCCTTTTATCAATATTAACTACGTAATGATGAAATACCCTTTTATGCGTAGTCCACATATACAGACACTTATTTAAATTTTTTTTTTTTCTCTGTCATTCAAACCTCAAAGTCACGAAACTCATCGTAATACCTTTATTTGAGGAATAAGAGCAGGTCCCCCATAAGCAAAGCCAGTATAAAGCTGAACAAGAGTTGCTCCAGCTCTTATTTTTTGGTAAGCATCCTCACCACTGAATCAAAGAATATATGTAAACCAAGTTCAGACAATGAAAGCCGGAAGAGGGGAAGTTTTTATAGACCAGTCATTATACACATGACCAAAAAATGTTTTGGTATAAATAAAGATTACAAGGTTTTCTATGCTGATTTTACCTGCTAATACCTCCACAACCGATAAGAGGAATCTTTCCCTGAAAGAGATAACACAATGTCAAACTTAAAAAGCCATGAATTGAAGGAAAACAACTAATAAGGCGTTTAAACTTGTAGTCGACTTCTTTGTAGGGTATAAGTACAGTCTTCAGATTGATAGGATAGGAAATATCCTCAAAGGTTGAGGAAGAGATTTTAGAAACTAATGTAAAAAGGAAGAAAAAAATTTATATGGCTAGATAGAAGACAACCCATCAGTTCAAAATTTCAGACTGCCTCACTATCTCATGGTGAACTTGCATATATCTCTCCTTAGGAAGTCAAGTTTACCAAAACTCCATTAAAAATTTAAAATCTATCTAAAAGTACATTTGCCATTTCACTGCAATCCCACACACATCAAAACCTTGAAGATGATACTCTTCAGTCAAACATGCTTTCAAGCTATGCATTTATTTATTTATTTATTTTTTTTTTTTTTGAGATTTTCAAGACCACCTACACAGTTTAAACAAATTTCCCGCAGAAATTCAAGTTTAACTTTTGGTCAAAAAAAGAAAAAAATAAAAATCAACCTTGAATTTCTTGGTTTATGATTTAAAAAAAAAAATCAAATGTGAATTTCCACCTGCAATTTAACCTAACCTCAGCGATGGTTTGTAGAATGCTCCCCTTTATTATTATTTTTTTTTCTTTTTTTGGGCCCTCTCGCTACTTGAACACAAGACCCTAGGATATAGCTAACCCTAGTGGCTAAAGGACTTGCCATCCGGCCACAAGGAAAGAGGTCGTTCTTTCTCCTTTTTCTTTTACCAATAGAGCATTCAAGTGCTTTCTCATTTTCTATTACCAAGTAGAACCATCAAAGTCATGGCCAAACTGAAACACAATCAGTGAAAAAAAAAAAAAAAAAAAAAAAAAAAACACTACAACACCAAGAAAATCACTAAATACTAGGTTGAGAAGGAAAAATACTATTAAAAAGTTCGACATTCTTGGAGCCCGTACTAAGGTAGATTAAAGTTGTGAACTTTGTAGTATCTCTCTTGTGGTCTTAAAAATCAACTGATTGGCTATGAGAACTTCAAAAAAAATTTAAAAAATTCAGAGTCTAGGGAGTGCAAAGGATAGCTGGTTAAGGTTTATCCCAATGGTTATACAAGGGTGATTTTCGACCATTATAGGATGCAACTGTGCAGTAACAAGAGAACTTCAAGTCCTTATAAAGATGTCCAATACAGATGTGGAGTGTATTCAAATCAAGTGAGGTAACTAGAAAAAACTGGGGAGTGAATAAAGAAGAAAACTATAAGAGCAATTTAAAGTTCATTTAATCTTGTTTAGGGAAGGTTTGTGTAACTAGTTGTGGAAGATACTTCTGTTTTCTGTTTTATCTTTGCTTTTGCATTTTGTTTGTTTCCATGATTTCATATGCTTCTTTGTATTTTTCTTTTATTGGCAACACAAAGGATACCTGATCTTTCTTTTAGTATTCTGTTCTTTCTTTAAAACACTTAGTTCTCTAGAATAAAAAAAATGTCTAAGGTCAACAGTGGCAAAGTGCTAACTAATAACTCAAATAACCCATTTTCTAGTTTTTATTTTTATTTTCACCAAATGAAAACAGTTTAACTTACAATGGAAATCTCAAACATCAATATGTGATGATTAGAATTGTCAGCTTAAAAAATTCACAATAAACCTTCCAGAATTTCCTTTGTTTCCAGTCCATATACTCAGTCTTTCATGGTTTTTACCATGAAAAAATCTAGGTCAAATTCCGAAAAAGGGCAGCTCCATGAAAAATAAAATATAAGAATAGCAAGCATACCCTCGTCAAGAGATACATCTCCTTCAAGATATTGGTTGATAAATTAAAAAGTGGTTTCCCACTTAATCCACCAGTTTCCTTGGCAACAGGGTTTTGACTTGCAGGATCTGGTCTTGAGACGGTTGTATTTGATATAATCTAGACAAAAATCAAAAAGCATCTGTTAGAAAAGCAGAAGTCCCAAAAAATAGCACAAACTTCAACAGCATGAGTTAATCAACCAAAAATGCATTACAAAATAACATATTAAGCATTAGACAAATAGTTTAGGAAATGTAAAGCACAAAAAAAAAATAAAATAAAAAATAATAATAATAACATATAATCAAAAGTATCGATATTTAGAGTTAAGGAGCAAGAATAATAGATTGTGTTGGATGAACATTTACCAATCCATCCAGGCGGAGTGCAAGAGCAACCTATAGAGTCAGAAAAGAACCATCAGAAATGTAATGAGGAGTTCAGAAACCATAATTAATAAGAGTATGTACACACTGCCGCAATATCTTCAAGGTCTTCCTTAGATAAGTCTGGAGCAATTTTCACAAGTAATGGAGGTGGACCCTCCTCACCCCATTGCATTTCATCACGAGCAGCTTGAATCTTGATTTAAAAAAAAAAAAAAATAGTTACATAAAACCTCAATTCTGAATCAACAATAAGATAATTATGCAAAGAAAACAGTAAATTCATGCCCAAACCTTCTTCACAAGGTCCTTTAATTGCTTTCTTCCCTGAAGCATACGCAATCCTGGAGTATTGGGTGATGAAACATTAATAACCTACAAAGGAACAAAATAAATATGTTAGCAAATGCTTCATCTAGTTAGTTCGAAAAGAATTTAAATCCTCACATCTAAAAAGTCAGATCCTAAAGGATGAACTTAATGGAAAAACATTTCAAATGAGTAATATAACCAAACTATGGAGGATTTTACTGTCAGAAACATCGTTTTACAAGCATAGAAAAGATTTAAAAAAAAAAAAAATATATGATACGTGATGGACACCTGGTCACCAAGTGGTATAACAGAAAAGGGGCAAACAGGGAAAAGGAGATCATGACAAGGCAAGACAGATGGCAGGACAGTTGGCAAGGAAGCAAATGGCACAATGAAGGCTCAACAGATGGCGAGTTTGTTAAGAGGAAGGAATCTTGAGTGAGAATAAAAGGAGAGCAGTAGTGTAGGATAGGCATGGAAATTAGTGGAGAGTTGTATAGGAGAAACTGACCCTTGAAGTTAAGTGTTGTGCTGAGTCTATTTTCATTTCCTGTTTGTTGTTTCCATTTTGTTATTTCCATTCCAGTTGTTACGAACTCTTTTCCATTAATATAGTTTTATTTCAGTTTTTTCCAATCAAAAGTATTGTTTGTTATTGAGTAATTGTTTTTAATTTTATTAATTGCGATTAAACGTGAGTCTGGAAGGCTGGTTCTCATCAATACGATGAAAACAAAATAATTGTTCTACAGTATCCTTTTAGCACCTTTAATATACAAATCCAACAAGCCCGTCCAAAAAGAAAAAAACAAAAGAATGCAAGTAGCTCATAACAACATCACACAAACACCAATAGCAACAACACTGCAGCTAGGCAAAGTTCTTTTCCATCAATGATGAACCTCGAGACTAATTCTCACATCAACTTTGAATTGATGCAGTTAAAGTTCACTTAACTAAAGAGGATAGATCAGTTCGATGGCACAAAGAATGAGGTGACTCTAATCAACTGAGGCATCAATAAGTCTATAATCTATTTTCAATAAATATATATGACAATACCATATATGAGGGGATACAAATTTTAACAAAGCAGATAAAAGAATGCATACCAAGTAATCGGCATACTGGGACAATGAATGAACCCCTTGTACATAATCTGAAGCAGCATCTTCACTTGTCTTATTCTTTCCAAGATTGACTCCAAGAATACCAGGACCAGCTTTACCTCCATATTTGACATCATCACTGGAGGTAGATGAAGTGCCTGAAGTTTCATCCAACTTCCTCTTACCATGCTGGGCACCCAAACGCTTTGCAACAGCAACAATTCCTTCACTATTAAAGCCACATCTATTGATGATAGCACTGGCCACAGAAATGAAGCAGTCAGATAAATTCAAGAAAGATAAGCAATGGAAAGAAAAACCTTTTTTCCTCTATTCAGAACTAGTTGGGATTTAGTAGGCCCCATCATTTTGGTATTCAGGCTTAGTTGAGTACAAATCAAACTAAACAAACAAACACAAACATATTATTTCCATAACAACTTTTTCTCTCAACCATGCAAGACAGTACCAACTTTACTCAAACTACAATACAAGCTAACTTTAGCTCAGATAGAAAAGAAGATTAAATATGCATATTTACCCCTCTGGACGCAATCTGAAGATACGTGGCTTTGGATTACCCTCTTGTGGAATAGGGGTTACAGAACCAACCTCCACAAAACCAAAACCCAAGCCCAGTAATCCTTCGATGGCTTCAGCATTTTTATCAAAACCAGCAGCAAGACCTACAGGATTTGAGAACTTCCTTCCCCAGACTTCGAGCCCCAAAATTGATGGATCAGGTCTCTTCTCCCTTGGAACCCAACCACGAGCAGCGGCTGAGACAGCTAATGTATGAGCAAACTCAGCATCCAGAAGAGCAAAGAATGGATTGACAAGTCTTGTTGCTTGAAATAGCCAGCCACTGTAAGATTTATGCAGTACAAGTTCATCATCAGGGATCACAATTTGAAGCGAACAAGTTTAATTTTTGATTAATTCAAACTTGGATCATTTCAGGTATGAATTTGATATGCAGTATTTTGAGTAAAATCACTAGTATGTCATAAAGAGGTACCAGAAAGTTGCTTCATCCACAGTACTCACATAAGCTCCTCCAGCTATGACTAGACCTAGGGTGGCTCCTGTCAATAATCTCCCCTATAATCCAAATTAAGAAGAGACTCCATTCAGAAATCAGACAAATATCTTACACTTAAAAATAGTATAATTCAGTACTAGCGGGAAATAATAGCAACTACACAGCTTGCATTAGAAATTGAAAATGCCACAAGTAACAAAAGAAGTAAACAAATAAATTCAACTCATAAGCAGAAAGATGGCACATAAAGAAGACAGTTCCTAGCGACGAACCAAATTTAAATGTCAGAAGGAAGAAAGGAATTACAAGAGATAGAGGTAAAGAATTGCAAAGAGATCAGCATTTCTACAGTCAGAAATTTCTGAAAGAAGACAACAATGCAAGAGAGGAAAAGAAACAAATGAAAGGCTAAAAGACAATCAGTGAAAGCAATCAGACATATCTAATTTTCTTCACAACGGCAAGCCGTTCATGTGTCAAATATGCTTTGACATCACCAATAATGGCAGACGTTTAGTAACTATGTTAAATAATGTTTCACCAAAATCTAGTCCATATATTCAGTGCCACCAAGCACAATATACTTCTTCATCTCAACTCCATTTGTCTTCTTCATCTCAACTCCCTTTGTCATCTTAAAAACTAAAAGATAAACTGAAAGAATGTTGAAGCATTATAATCTATGACTGACTCCTCTATGCCATTTTAACACATTTTCTTCTCGGTGCTTCAGATACACTTATCCATCAAGTCCACTATCATAGGCTCTAAAGTGAAACACGTAGACACCATATGGGACATGATCATTAATCTCAACCAATCTTATGGTCTCCAAGGATCTCCAACTTGATAGATTTGCATCACTGGTGACAACATTTGGATTCAACAAGTCACGAGATCATATTACCCCGCTCACATTATACAAAGAAAAGAAAAGTAGAGATGTCCATAATACATGCTGAATACAAATAGATAAGAGTATCAGCTGCTAGTCCCACTAAACAATGGTTTACCAAAAAGGGCTCCTGATTGACACTTTTAGGAACACACAGAAATTTGAAGATTGCAAGTGTTTGTTAGCCAGACACAATCAGAGTGAACTAAAGCCTCGAGAATGAAACGCTTATATGTATTTTTTTTTTTTTTTTCAATTTCATGTTAAAGAAACAATCACTATCTATTAATAATTTCACATTCATATAAAAATTACAAATTAAATATATAAACACAATAACCAATATAAGTGAAGTCGGTTGTTTGGAATAGAAACGAGGAGAAACCTAAACATGCAAAATATAAATAAATAAATAGAGATAGAGAAGAGAATACTTTTTTGGAAGAGTGAGGGATTTTAGAGGCGGTAGGAGCAGCAGAAGCAGAAGAAGAAGTAGAAAAAGAATGCCTGGTGCGTCCGAGAGTAGATGAAATAACTCTTTGATACCAAAAATCTCTCAATAGTTTCCTTGCTGCCATTAATCAAAGAATCGTAAGAAAGAATTGAAGAGGAGGCTTTAGTAATTCGCAGGAGATTTAGATTGAGGTTCCCCTTATTGCTCGCTTCTTCTCATAACAGGATTTATTAAACCTTGGCTCTCCTAAAACCTGTCAAGCCTAAACCCTCCTAATTTAGTTGTCCTTTTTTAATAAACAAAGGGTCCCTCTTCTTTTCTTAATATTCGGCTACATCCATTAGTTATGGTGCCTTGGGAATCTTTTGCTTAATAAAAGTAAAATTTTTAATTTTTAATATTGAAATTATAATTTATTCTATTATTATATTAAAATGATACTTTAGAATATTAGTCAACAGCAAATCATGTTTAACAGTTTGAATTACTCGTGTTAAATAAAAAATGCAGAAACCAAATCGAACTATTCGGTTCAAAGAAATACAAAAACTGATTTTCGGATTCAATTACCGGTTTACGAGAATATGGGAACCAATTAACTGAAACCGGTTTTATAAATTGGTTTATTATAAAATATTAAATTAAAATAAAAAATAAAAAAACTAATTTATTATAAAAATATATAAAATATTAAATTAAAATCAGTTAACTGGTTTTTCCCTTAATCAGTTTGATTTCGATTCTGGAAAATTACTTAACCGAAAAACTGGTTTGGTTCACAAAATCAGTTTACCAGTTTTAAACACCCCTAGTTTGAATGAATTATATAATAACTCAACATCAATGTAATTTAATATATTTTTTTTTGCAAATATTATTTCTATAATTTTATTTGATATTTAATATCCATTTTAAACTATATAGTAAAATAAAAAATGTTACTTTTAATACTTATTAACCAAGTAAATCAATTGATATAAAATCTTTCTATTTAAAACTCCAAATCAATTTCTATCTTAAAGAACGTTAATTATATTCCATGTCAAATATATTTTAAACTGTTAGATTAATGCATTGAATGGTTGAGATTACATCTAAATATAGTATTTTAAAAGTGATTAAATATTTAAGTTGTGTTAAATTTTAACCTTCCAAACTGTATTGATCTAATAACTTATAAATTGTGACATATTTAGTGTAAAAAAAAAATAAATATGATGCTCTTGAACCTTTCTCATATGTGAAAGTGTATTTTAATATTTAATAAATAAATCATTTTAATATTTTTAATCGAAGTAAAATACAATAACTAATAATTAAAATTAAAATTTTAAACTCCTCATTTAATTATAATGTAATTATTTGGTTAAAAAAAAATTAGTGCAAGACAACAAATAAGAGAGTGAAAGGAATTTAGAATAATATGTATATAATACCTAGAACAAATACATGAAATTTGGGCAAATATCAAGATTAAAATTATCTCCTGTAGCTTAGTACCCTTTTTTTTAATTAATTTTAGTTAAATATAATTTTTTATTTGAAAAAAATATATTAATAGAGATCAAATAATAAATAGGGTAAATTAGAACCATTTTTTATAAGAAGTTTTCCATTTTTGGTTTCAAAACTTAATGAAGAAGGCATAGGGCCCGGTCCACCAAGTGCTCACAAATCCATAAGACTTGCCCGGTCTTTTAAGCCGGGCCAAATCGGCCCATGAGACGGGTTGGAAAATCGGGCTTCTCATATTGAACCTCGGGCCTTTCAACCCGGTTGACACCTCTGTTTAAGACAAACTTTCCACTTTCCAGAGAGCGAAGTAAGAAAACACAGAATCCGAATGGGGTCTTCTACTTGTAATCCTTTCGCTCTAACTTCACATCCTTTCGTCACTGGCTTCAAAAGTCCCAAGCTTTCTCACTCGGTTCGTTATATGTTTGAATAAACTCATTCAAAGCACGATAAACATTTATTTCTTTATCCTTTTATTTATTTACTTTTTGTTACAGAGAAGAAGGTTGAACGGGTCACAAAGAGCTTCCAAAGTCACTGCTTACTATGGTTTAAAGGAAACTCCTTATAAACTTGTAAGTGAGTCTTGATTTTTGTCAAAATGGGTTGTGGGAAATTGTAGTTTGCAGCTATTTGTACTTGTTTATGTTGGTTTTGATTTTGGTTTTGTAGGATGCTTTAGAACCATATATGAGTAAGAGGACATTGGAAAAGCATTGGGGAGAGCATCATCGTGGTTATGTAGAAGGTTTAAATAAACATCTTGAGAAAGATGATATATTGTACGGCTACACTCTGGATGAGCTTGTTAAAGTAACTTATAACAACGGAAACCCTCTACCCGAGTTCAATAATGCAGCCCAGGTTAGTATGCAGTCGGTATTTAGTATCTCCTTGGTGTAGAGTCTTGGTAGCTTTGGTAGCTCATCTTTAATCGTATGAGGTCAGGTTGCTTTTGATAATGGTGTAATAATTTGTTTAATGTATTTCTTTCAAATTCTAAATCTAGTTGGATGTTTATGTCCTGGATTTGGAACAGATTTTTGGCTGTTTAGCTTAGAATTTGACGGGAAGACACGAATTCAATGTTATGCCAATTTTTATTGCTTTAGCTGGTGATAACTGAACTATTGAGATTGATATATTTTATCAGTAAAATACAAAGTTTTGCGTGATTAAGAGAAGAAAAGTAAAAATGATTCTGAGTTTAATTCTGTTTGTATTAGCCGAAAGTATCTCTTAGAAATTAGAATGTGCTATACCATATTGGAAGACATTTATATTTAGGAAATATACTTGTGTGCAAGTTCTAATATCCAGACTAGGGGTGTTCAAAAAAATGCAAAAACCGAACCGAACCGGAAAATCGGTTAACCGAAAAAACGGTTCAAAGAATTAAAAAAACTGGATTTTAGGTTTGGTTTGGGTAAAAATGAAAACCATTTAACCGAAACCGGTTTTTTGAACTGCTTTACTAATATATATATATATATTAAATAAATAATAATAATAATAATCTTAATCCCTAAATTTGCACAATTTCTTTTGTTGTTTTCCATTGAGTCTTGTTTAATTATTTTGTTGTTTTATTATAGACATTTCATTACGGACTTTTATTTTTGTTTAACTTCAGACTTTTATTTGTATCAATCTTTAATGTATTATTAGTTGTGGTCAATAGATATGATGAATGTTTAATTTTTATTTGGATATGTATTGTTGATGTTTACAATTTAATTTAGGAAAAATTAAAAAAAAAAAGTTTTATCCAATAAAAAGGGGAAAACCAGTTCGGTTCAAGAAAGCGGTTAACCGGTTCGGTTAACTGCTTTTGAACACCCCTAATCCAGACAGGAGTGGTAGCTCAAACGTTGCCCCTTATAGCTCAACTCGTCTGGTGGGTGAGATGTGCCTTAAATTTTCTCTCCTAAATGGCCTGTTTCCTTCAATAGCTTTCTTATGTTTCTATTAGATGAAAACTCTTAAGAAACATGGCATGGCCTGCTCCTAGATCTTTGGATTAATTGAGTGGGGTGCAGATAAATTGCATTTGATGAAACTAGCTGTTCTGTAATATTTTCTGATAACTCTTCGGAGAACTTAGTATGCTTGTGTTGAAACTTTTTTTATTCAAGTCAGATTGGCAATCTTATAAGAAAGAAGGTTGGTAAGAAAAATGGATCCCAAGGCTTAAGTTGAAGTTATAAATCCATCTATTAAAATCAACTGCTATGGCAATGGCATTTTGCACAAACCACAGATTCAACAATCTATTGGATCTTTATTTAATGCAAGACTAGTCTTTTGGATATTATCCACGATGGAGTGTCTGGATGGTTTGTTTCTTTATTCTCTCAAACTGGTCTACCATTTGATAATATGGTTAACTGTTTTTTATGATTGAGAGTTGTCTTGAACTTAATTCCATATCATTCAGTTTAACCAATTTTCACTTGTAGTTTTGTTTTATCTAAAAAATGGACTTGATTCTATTTCATCCTGTTTAAATAATTTTTACATCCGTTTTAAGTGAAAAATTATGACATGGAATGGAAACTTAACCTGTCACTGCAGGTTTGGAATCATGACTTCTTTTGGGAGTCCATGCAGCCTGGTGGGGGTGACATGCCCAAATATGGAGTACTTGATCAGATTGAAAAAGATTTTGGTTCCTTCACAAATTTCAGAGAAAAGTTTATAGAATCTGCTCTTTCACTATTTGGCTCTGGATGGGTTTGGCTTGTTGGTAAGCCGTTTGTTAAACTCTATTTTCTGCAGGTGACAGATTGGTGGTCTCTTTGTGTCGATTTGTTGTAGCCATGTATAAGACAAAAGCACTTCTTCCACCCTTCCTTTATGTTCTTATTTATTTATTTTTTTGTAAGTGATGTGAATTTGCCTGGTAGCGGCTCTTGCTAGTGATAGTCTTCATTTTGTTGACAATTGTTGTTTTATTATTATTATTATTTTTCCCCCAATTCACCTCCTTTACTTAGCGCTGCTTTGATTGTATTAGTGAAAAGAGAGGAGAGACGACTTGCAATTGTTAAAACATCAAATGCCATTAATCCACTAGTGTGGGATGACATTGTAAGTCAATCTTTATATCCTTCAAGTGAGTGCTTGATTTCATTTTTGTAATTGCATTGACCACTTTTCTTTGTGCAGCCCATCATCAGTTTGGATATGTGGGAGGTAAGTTTATAATTTTCTCTGTGGAGATTCACCATTAATTCCTTATTATGCTTCAAGGTGTTAATATTTTCTCTTTATTGCTTGCAGCATGCTTATTATCTGGATTACAAGGTATATATCACTTCGTCTTCTTTTACCTTCCACAAGGTGCTTCTTAACAATCCTTTGCTGCTTCTAAACAGAATGACAGAGCCAAGTATGTAAATGTGTTTATGAACCACCTTGTATCTTGGAATGCCGCAATGTCGCGTATGGGCCGTGCGGAGGCGTTTGTGAATTTAGGTGAACCCAAAATTCCAGTTGCTTGATATGGTGCAATGCCGAGAAGCTGCTGGTGATTCTTACCACCAAATGAGTTCTGGTTGAGAGAGGTTAAAAAATGTAACGCTGAAAAATTTTGTTGATATTTGTAATCCAGTTAAATATGTAGAATACAAGGCTAGCATTAGGCATGTAGCTGTTTGTAAAACCCAGAAAAATTTTGATCCTGATATTTTTGTATCTTGTACCATGATCTTATTGAAGCTACAGTGAATTAGCCAGTCAAAATTTCGATTTAATCAAACATTTTCATAGTGAATGGTAACATTCTAATTGAGGAATTATAAGTTCCAAGAGATGGAATTATTACAGCCCGGCATATTATAAGAGAATGCAACAGAAGTGATCTATGCGGGGATTTCTAATGGAAATTTACGTTTTCTGAATTTTATCGTATCTTAGTGAGATTTTCAAAATTTTGCCATTTTAGTAGTTCTTATATTCGAATATTAGATTATTTGTAAAATAATAACGGAAGTACAGAACCACAGTTTCTCCTCTCAGCTCAAGTTTTGATCCATTCTTGATGGCAATTACGCTTCATGACAAAGTGCAACTACGATCATAAATATACTTCTCAAACTCATGAGAAGCTTGAAGCTTTCTTTTACTTCATGCCTGAAATTTATCTTTCGCTTAACAAACAAGCGTTGTTGTTACTTTCATGCAACAGTCTCCAAACCTCAACAGGAACTCCATATTAACAAAAAATCCTTCTGTAATCTTATTGTGAGAAACGACCCGATTTTGATCGCAAATGCCCTTTCCCTGTCTGAGAGTTTTAAATCTTGTTTTCTTGGTACCCAAATCCATGGCCATATTATCAAGTTGGGATACAACGGTGACATTTTCTTGCAAAATAATCTGATCAAAATGTACTCTAGATGTGGAGTTTTAGCTTATGGGATTAAGGTGTTTGATGAAATGCCTGAAACAAATCTCGTTTCTTGGACTTTGATCATTTCAGCTGCAGTTCAAAGTGGGGAATTTAAATTGGCTTTGGACGTGTATTTGGAAATGACAAGAAATGGGTTGAGACCTAATGAGTTTGCTGTTGGAAGTGTTATGAAAGTGTGTGGTTGTATGGGAGCCACTGACCTTGGTTTGTCTATTCACGGTTTTGCTTTGAAAATTGGAATTGAAACGAACCCGTTTGGGGGTTGTTCTATTTTGAATTTCTATGCTAAGTTGGGAAATATTGAAGGGGCTGAACAGATGTTTGATTGCATAAATAGTGTTGATACTGGCTGTTGGAATGCTATGATAGGAGCATATGCACAATGTGGGTTTGGTTTTGAAGCTTTGAAGTTTGTATCTTCAATGCGATGTAAAGGAATAAATATGGACAAATACACCTTTATCAATGCTCTTCAGGGGTGCTCTGTTGTGGGTGATTTAAATACCGGAAAACAGATGCATGGATTGATTATTCGCAATGAAGAGGAATGTAGCATCTCAGTGATGAATGCTCTTATGGATATGTACATAAAAAATGGTGAAATGGATTCTGCTTTCAAAATTTTCAAAAGGATATCTAATAAAGATGTTGTATCATGGAATTCTCTCTTTGGGGGGTTTTCTGAATATGATAATCTAAGAGAAATTGCAGAGTTATTCCATGAGTTTCTGCTATCTGGCATAAGGCCGAGCCATGTAACTTTCTCTGTACTGTTTAGACAATGTGGAGAAGTACATGATCTTAAATTTGGGCTTCAGCTGTATTGCCTTGCACTGCATTTTGGATTTCTTCATGAAACAAATGTCACAAGCTCATTAATCTATATGTTCTGTAGGTGTGGGGTTGTGGAGATGGCGTGTCTAGTTTTTGACAACGTACTTTACAAGAATATAACCATTTGGAATGAGTTAATCTCAGGGTATAATTTCAATAGTTGTGACATGGAAGTTCTAAAGACATTTTGTAGTTTATGGCAGTCAGGTTTTGAAGTAAATGAATTTACCTTCTTCTGCACTTTGGAGGTTTGTTGTAGATCTGAAAACCAACAAATGGGTAGACAGATACATGGTGTTGTTATTAAGTCTGGTTTTTCTCATTCTGGATATGTTTGTAGTTCTTTAATTAAATCTTATGTTAAATTTGGACAACTAGATGATTCTTTTGAGTTCTTTAATGGGCTTGAGAGATTAGATACAGCATCCTGGGCGACCATGATATCTACATTGGTGCATCAAGGCTATAACTATGATGCACTCAGATTTTTCCACTACTTGATAGAATCTGCTGAGCAGCTTGATGAGTATATTTTGGGTAGCATTCTAAATAGTTGTGCCGACACTGGAGTTTATCAACAGACTAGATCTATCCATCCATTTATTATCAAATTGGGATTTGATGCTGATGTTTTCGTTGCTAGTGCTGTTATAGATGCTTATGCAAAGTGTGGGGACATTAAGGGCGCTAAAATGGCTTTTGATCAGTCATTTAAATCCACTGATGTGATTATATATAATAGTTTGATTATGGCTTATGCTCAGCATGGTCTTGTTAAAGAAGCAATGGAAATCTTTGACAAAATGAAGTTGGCCAATCTAAAGCCTAGCCAAGCCACCTTTGTTTCAGTTTTATCAGCCTGTAGTCATAAGGGTCTTGTTAAACAAGGATGTCTTCTGTTCAAATCAATGACCTTACAATATGGAGTAGAACCATCTCCTGATAATTATGGTTGCTTAGTGGATATGCTGTCAAGAAATGGATACCTTGAAGATGCTGAACATGTAATTGAGGTAATGCCCTTTCCACCTTGGCCTGCTGTTTATAGATCCTTGATTAGTGGTTGTAGGATACATGGCAATAGAGAATTAGGAGAACGGACTGCTAAGAAGTTACTTCAGCTGCTTCCTCAAAATGATTCTGCTTATGTATTGTTGTCAAAAGTGTATTCTGAAGGTGGCAGTTGGGAAGGTGCGGCAAAAGTGAGGAGGGGTATGACAGAAAAACAAATTCTGAAAGGCCCTGGGTATAGCTGGATTGAGACATTGAATCCTTGAGGAACTCTTATTTGTCCATGTTCTAAAAGCTGTTCGGCCACTGGGAATATTAGTTTATTGGGCTGAGGTCTTTCATATCAATTTAAGCAAAATTTTGGGTGAAAATTTTCTTGGTTTACGAAGTCCAGTTATCTTTACATGTGATGGAAGAGCTGCTTGGACACTGATGATTCAAATTTATCTTGATGATTGGTTCTTTGGATAGCATTATTTCCCTTTCTGTGAAGAAACACAGGTAATTCTATATTACTTCACTGATTGCAGCATGCTTATTATCTGGATTATAAGATAGAAAACTATCACTGTTTTGTCTTTAATCCTCCTAGATGTAGTTTTTTAATTATCCTCTTGCTTCTTCTAAACAGCATGACAGAGAGGAGTAAGTGAATGTATTTTTGAACGACATTGTATCTTGGAACACTGCAATGTCGCCATCGGGAATGGCCGGTGCAGAGGCCTTTTTAATTTAGTTGAAACCAAAATTCCAGTTGGTTGAATTGTTTGGACACCAAGAAGCTGCAGGTGAATGATACTACCTAGCAAGTGAGTGTAAGCAGAGGTCACAAGCCCTTGGCAAGTACAACACTGAAGTCAAGGTTGAGAAAAACATATGTAATGCCGAATGGTATCGTTTATGTCGGTAATCAATTCAATTATGTAGAGTAGAAAAACATAGGCAATTTTGATCCAAATAGTTTTGTATTTAGTTCCATGATCTAATGGTTTAGATACTGGAACAAGCTGTTTCATGTCAGCCATGTTAGTTGCTGGAGATGCTCCATTAATATGAAAAATTTAGCTTTTTTTTTTTTTTTTACACTCTTTACAATTTTTTTCTTATTTTCTCATGTAATTCCATTATCTGGTGGCAGAATTGCTACACATTTGATGAATTTATTATTATTTTTTAACTTTTCTTATTTTATTGTTTATTATGGAAATTTGCAATTAATTTGGGTAAAAACCCTTTATTAATTGCTTTGTAAACACCTAATAATATTTCATAAATAAATTTTATTGGGGAGGTCTTCGAATATTCTTTGAACTATATGTCAAATTATTAAAAGACAATTGTGATATACATATAAAAGTGTAATATTCTGCATTCTATTAAAACAAGGGTTTCCTTTTATCATGACATGAAATATTTTAGAAGATTTGAGGCCTCTTTTGGGAAATGTTTATCAAACTAAAATGCTANTGAAGGGAGGGGTCGTTTTTTAATTTTCAAAATTTAAACAAATTTCCATGAATTATCTATTACCCATATATGTTTCAATGTTTTCACTCTAGCCCCTTTTTTTGCATGTTTAGTTACAATTAAGTGTGCCATGTCAGATTTTTCAATTAAAAAAAAAAAAAACCCTCTGATTTTCAGGGTTATTTTTTGAAATCCAAAATTGGGATGTCAGGGGAGTTAAATTTCCTTAGTGTTTTGGTCGGAAGATTAAGCTAACCCCAAGGTCTTTTGACTCTCTGTATCTCTATTTCTTTCTAAGAAACACATATTCTACTTGTGCTTTTATCCGATTTGATTTAGTTGATTCATTTATTAATTAAAGTCTAAATATCTGCTTAAAATTTTCTTTTATTTATTGACAGTAATTCATCTCACCTTTATTGTACGCTAGACGTAATCGTTTTGAATCCTCAAAATTCATTAGAGATTGAATTAAATAAGTCAAAATTCGCATACTGCCTTGCTTCGTGATGATTTACTTAATATCTCAAATGCAGGATATGTCTTACATGAAACATCTTCTGGCTGAAATTGAGGCTCATATTTCATTGTTGATATTATATAGTTCTACATTCAGCATGTCAAGTCTGAAGTAAAATCACCGCAAGCTCGTTCATCATTGTCATTAATTTACTGGGCCACCCTTATTCTGTATCTCGCTATAACAAACTAGTGACAGAAAATTGACTCTTTGTTTTATCAAAATGACACAGATTTTCAATTGCACAGGTTGCAGACAATTATCTCAAATGTTCTTGGCAGTTTTCTTCTTTCATAGTTCTGAATATGTTCTAGCAATTTCCTTCCATGGTAGTTCCAATGTTACTCTTAAGTCATTTTTTATTAGTAAGAAATATATTTGTGTTGTGTTATTCTTATTGATGGAGTACTTTGTTGAAATCTTTTTCTTTCCTAGGTTGAAGGAATATTGGTGGATTAGTGTCTTGTAACGGTTATAATCGGGGAAATCATTAGGAAATTGGCGATTATAACGGCTGGTCAGGCCTTCACACATCTAATTAAGATTCACCGTGAGGAACATCACAAACTAGTTACTCATGGAGTCTATAGTTGTGTCCGTCATCCTGGTTACTTTGGTTTCCTCATCTGGTCAGTTGCCACCTAGATAATGCTGTACAATTGGATTTGCAATTGTTGTTTGGAAATTTTTTGCTGAGCGGTGTTGATAAAAAGAAGAAGAAGAAGAATGTAGGCTCTCAGTTTTGAGTAGTTTGGGGTTTTCAATATTTGTAAGGCATAAGTCATGTGTTCCTGACTGGCTGGCATGTATAAAAAGACGCGCTTCTTCCTTTTACCCATGTTAAAGTTTGAGAAGTGAAAAATACCGAATCCTTTCTGTTAGAACTCACACGTTTTCATGCTGTTTATTCTGGCGTTGTTTCTCTTCTAGAATTTGTCTTCTTCATCTCATGAAAACTTTTCGATGGTGTTAGAGCCCAGACTACGTCTAAGGTGATCTTTGTGCTTATAACTCCTTACAATTTTCTTTCTTTTTCTCTTCAAGAAGAAAAAAAAATATGGTTACAACTGGATCCAGTTGCTGTACTCATCCCATAGGCGTACCTCGTTGCCATCAGTCCCACGTGGGTGAAACCAAGACACAGCAATAAACCCCCTACAGCCCTCTAGTGGAACAAGTCTCAGCATCTAGGACAGCCTTGAGACTCCAGGTGTGGTGCTCCTGTGTGGAGGGATAAAAGTATGTTTTCGCAACATGTGTTGCGGAATGTGGTTTACATTTGAGACAAACAGGAGAAAAGGTTAAAAGGTCTAACCCTAAACTATTCAATAGAAAAAAGGTGACAAGATTTTTATAAGCTCTTCTTCAACACTTTCTCGAGTCTATGTTTAGAAAATGGTGCTAAGTGAGTAGCCTTGAAATTGGAGAGTTTAGAGTGGCATTTTCATCAGTCTTAAGGCTTTAGACACACTGCACTTAAGGACACTTACTGCAGACAACTAAAGAAGGATCATGTAGTCATTAGTGAATAGGTGCTAAAGATGAAAGAAATAGGAGAATGAGTTTTGAATGTCTGTGCGGTGACTGATGTAGTGAGATGGAGGAACTAGTTGTCTATGATTAGATGAGGTTTGGGACCGCGATAGTATGATGCTGTGTTGCATTCCCTCAATCTCAATGCTAGTTATCATATACAAGAAGCTTATTCGTGGTGCACAAACATGAAATAAGATGATTGGAGAGGCAAACATTAGGGCCTATCACTTGCCAGACAATAGCTGTCGCTCGTCTGGTTTCTAAACCAAACTGCAACGAATGCGGAAAATTGATGCTGTCTCACAGACAAAGGACGTCAGGACAAGTGCAATAGTGGAATCTTCAGGAATTATTTGATACAAATCTCAATTATCTCAGTCCCCTGAGGGTCAGTACATCTGGAATAATCCTAGACCAGCTTTTCCTTTGGTGGCTACCTTCAAATATGTTCCCAAACAGTTACTCATGCATGTTTCATTGCTGCTCCATACTTCTCCTGGACTGTATAGTTTCCAAATCTCCCATAAGGAATGCGTATCCGAGCGAGGAAGGGGTCAGTTTAGACCAAAACTGATATTCAGTTTTGTGGCAAAAGAGGACACTCTAACAGTTAATGGCTATCATATGATTTGATCAGATTCTCAAGGATTCTAAGGCTCTATTGGTTTTTAGATTTTTTCTAGTCCAAGGTCTTACCTCTGTTACCCCACAACCCACAAATCCTGGCAAACAATGAAGCAGCTCTCCAGGCTATTTGCGATCCGCTCCTCACACTATTGGTTGTACATGAGTTGGCCCGTATACAGTCGTAGCAGCCTGTACTAACTTCCTCTGTGGATCGGGGTCTTCTAGGCAACGGGGGGGGTCGGGACGTGTCGCCGGGCTCTGTCTACTTAAGCTCCACACCGACTCGTTTGGGTGTTTGTTTCTCTCTCCGGTCTTATGGTGGAATCCAACAGGTTATTGCCATATCTAACACAACGAAACAACAGTATTGCGCCTGGCTACTTGACTCTAATGGGTTCGAATGGCTCTTCCTCTAATTGTGTTATCAATACCATGTTTTTAATGACTAATCAAAATCATAGCACCCTCAGCATTTGGAATGTCCTTCATGTTAGCACACCTGTAAGGGAACTCATTTATCCCCTAGTCCCGTTGCCTACTCCTTAGATAGTTGCTTATCAGACTTAGTATGGCTGGCTCAGGAGCCACAATCAGATCACACTGGTGATCCAAGCAATCTGATCCTTTAAGTACTATCTATCCAGAAGGCTCTAACAGTTCAAGTAGGAAATGGTTAGAAGAGTGAGCCTGTCAACACAATACAGTTGATTACCTTATTAACTCAAACTCATCACATAGAGTGTTATACTTCAAAACATGTTCTGTAGTACCACATATTCCAAAAATTTGTTGAGTATTCTCTCAATAACTAGAGATAATGGAGTTTTTATACGGGATATTCTATGCGACTAAGCCCTTGTTAAGGATACTTCACAACCAAGAAATACGACTAGAAGTTACTCTAAAAGATTGACTCTACCACTTCAACCTCCCTTGGCCTCTGCAAAGCCATCTACCCTCGACACCTGGAAATACAGTACACCATGCAATCTGTCATGTTGGTAATCTACTTAATAACACTCAAAGAATGTAGGCATTTTACCATTGATGTGTCTACTAATAATTCGTATAGGATAGTATCCCAACTCAAGCGTGGTCCAACAATACAAGGCTGCAGCACCCGTTCATCACCTGGAAATTCTAGCAGTCTAGCAGCAACAATACTATCAAGCTACTCACTCTGAAAAACCTTGTAATCGTTGCATGCCAGGCTAGGACTTCCATAGAGAAAACTTTGATATTTGTGTTAAATAATCCATGAACAAATGACTCTAATTGCTAAAAACTTTCTGTGAGGCCTATCAATTTGGGAAGATGCATCAGGCCGCTGTTTTTCCTATTTCTGATTTTCAAACTCATTTTGCTGTTGAACTAGTATAATTCAGATCTGTGGGGGCCTACTCCAGTATGTTCATCTGAGTGATATGAGATATTACATGTCTCTTTGTAATGATTATAGCCGTATAGTGGATCTATCCTCTTCAAAGTTAAATATGAGCTCTTACAATTTTTACTTAGTTCCATGTTTCGTGAACACGATGTGTAAACTAAATGGCTTACAAACTAATTAGGGAGGTGATTTAGGCCCTTTACTCGTGTATTTACAAACACAATGGTATCGCCTTTAGACATCCTTGCCCCACCACACCCAAATGGGAGAATAGAGGAGGCATAAACCATCACAAGAATTTGCGTACCCTTGTAGCACATGCAGTATGCCTCTTAGTTTGTGGTGGCAGCTTTTACAACAGCAACCTACTTGATAACATCTGTCGCCAGCTCCTCGGTTGCACATATGTCCCCATTCTAGAACTACGCAACAAGAACCTTTGTACACTTGGTTAAGAGGTCTTTATGAGTGATTGTTTGTTATGTCCTTAGATCATCCGTCCATATCAATACATAAATGCTGCCTATCACGACTCAACCAGTGTGTGTAAAAACAAGAAACAAAAATAGATTAAACAGAGAGTCATTATAGCACAATGGATCCTAAGCCAATCGGTTACATATGTTTTATCCCTCTCTCAGGCAAAAATTTACATTGTTAGCCATGAATCCTTATGCTTCTTAATTGAGACGCGCTATGTTATCCCTTCAACGAGAGATTGTAAATGTTGTCCTTTCAAGCTCCTATAGCACTGATACTAAGGGGTGATTCCCGCCTTAAAGGTTTATGAAATGCGTGTACTGACACAGTCGCTAGAGGGGCCCTTGCTCACCCCCTAGCGTGTATTAAAATAGTAGTTATTATTTCTGGTGCCTAAATTGACTTTTCATCTCTAATTGACCTTCTAACTGCACCTCTTGTTAACCCGCCTGATGAATTACACTCCATAACAAGGGTCACAGTTAGTTCAGATAACAGACTCTGCGATTTTACCACACCACCACAGAGAAGAAACAACACAGACTTCAGCCTTGATGGAACCTGTTAATTGCGTCCAGCTTCAACTACTCATTGAGGTCCCTGGTAGTCAAGAGGGCAACAACTATGGAGCGCAGGTAGAGAGATCTCCTCGCTCACATATCGGCTGTGTGCCTTGTTATATTCAACTTACTCTATGCGGCTATCCTCTACCTAAACCAATAAACGTGACTCAACATCCTATGTGAGGGGTGTCAATTACAAGATCAAAAAGTCTTCAAACTAGCAGGCCACGATACTTTCTAATAGTACCCGCCGCAATTTGCTTAAGAGTCCGACAACGAGGGGGGGGTGGGGCTCTGAAAAAACAACATAATAAAATAACAAAGTGCATACTCGAATGAAGTTTGCAATGAAGATGGAAAAGTTTTAAAAAGAGGAGGAGCCGAGAAGAGAGGCAGCTACAGGAGTGTATGCGACACTGAGAAGAAGCTGAGTTGGTTGCTCCGTCGTCTATGTGATACCCTTATGACATCTAGATATCTGCACAATAACGGGATATTAGGTAATGTGTAATATTGGTTGTTGGGAGGCCGATGGAGTACCTCTACAAAATACAAAGCCTAAAGTAGTAGGCCTAAAGGGTGGTCCGAACCAAGACTCTAGACGCTGACCTACTTTGCTGGATACCTATTTTCACCAATAAGACTGTACTGTTGTCTCCATTATAATTGCCGATTTCTCATGTGGTTACCTGTGATTGGGACGACCCTTGGTGTTTCATGAAGCATATTCCTGAATTGCTTATGACTGACTCTTCAAAGTATCTCTCCTTCATACATGGTTTGTAAGCTTACCAAGCTTTGGTAGGTTTTATAAGCAAGCCCTTAGGGGTCAGGAGTGGTTTGGTGCCACCACGTGCCATGTGTCGGGTCCAGCGCGGGCAAGTCCCGACGTGGCCAGTCTCTCTCTAGGGGGATTTTGCGGCTGTGGGCGTTCCTGATCTCAGGTGTGTACATGTGGTTTGATGACACCAAGCGACCCGTGGGTCTGTTGTTTGACTCGAATCACGTACGAACTATAACAGTACGTGACACACACCCAGCAAGTGCTCAAAGTTGAAGAACAGGGTTCCAGTGGAAGGGTAGAAATCGGCTACATCAGGTTTGGAGTGAGACTACCTAGACCTAGAACACTGAGATCACAAGCGCGAAGACAGAAAGGTCGTCGATCTATAGGGCAGAAGGAGGCGGCAGCAAGTGCTGTCAGAGCGAAGGGGTGAGACGAAAATCTTCTACAATCAATCTCGAAGCTGAAAAAGTGTGACGGCCCAAGAGTAAGAACTCGTCGGTCTCAGTGGCGACGCGAGAGAAAGAGGCGCGGACGAAGGATGGTAGTGGCTACAATGGCGGGAAAAGACAGGAAACCACTAGTGTGGGGCCGGGCCGTGTTGGGTGGAAAGAGGGTGCACACACGGCAGAGTACCATCGAAACAAATAACCAACACCCCAACACACAAGGGGGTTATGCGGACACAGCATCAAAAGAAGGTCCTCAGGGGATGTGGGTTAATTACGAAGCGCAGCGAATGGCCAGAGGGGAAACCAGCCCAACGCCGAAGAACTGCAGGGAGAGGTAGCCGACGGAGAATAGCCAAGATAGGATTAAGAATATGAGGCGTGGGGGGGGTCAACCAACATGAGACAGAACAGGGTAGGGGTGCGCTTCCACTCCTCACGGAAATGCGTCGCACGCTTCATAGTCAAAGAACCGTACTTAACCGCGGTTGCCTTAAAGTAGAGGCCGCACAGGTGGTAAAAGGGGTCCGTGGGAGAGAGGCCGTAGGCGTACCATGCAAAAGTAGAATAGAGGAGCACAACATTGCCGACATGTGGTACCTGGACCGGCTTCGAATGAATAAAATTTTCTCTTTAAGGGTAGTATCGCTACCTAATGCGGACCTGCGGGCCAGTCAAGTAGACCTGTAGCTGAGGTGTCCGCAAGATCAGTGACCAGTCGGCGGATAGAGCAACGTCTACGTTAAGGATGGAATTTGTGGGAGGCCTAGGAGCCAAAACCTCGCGTGCAAGAATGAGCTGTGTCTCGTAATATAGCCGATAACCAAGCCTGAGGCAAACGCAGTACAGAGATCGTAGTATAAAAACTGCAGCCACGGCGAACTTGCGAATCTGAACTCCAGCGAGAGGGCAGACGAGGACGTGAAGAATAACCACGTAAACACATAGAGATAGAGCGCTCTCTGAAGAAGTCCGTCCCTGCAAGGACCAAACGGGCGGGGGTTTAGAATCGCTCAAAAACTGGTTACAAATAAATAGACAACGCGCAGAAAGCCAGGCATAAGCGGCTGTACTGTGGTGTCAGACAGACGGCTCGTAGGCCAAGGCAGAGTGCATCCTAGGGAAAGATGCCGAGTCCACGAAGAACGCATGGATTTAATGGTGTCAAAAACACCAAGACAAAACATAAAAACAGAAAAAGAAGAAGCAGCAAACAACGCGAAATCAAGAAGATAGAGGAAGAAAACCGTAACGATTGAGAAGAGAAAGAGAAGGGAAAAAAGAAGGAAGAAACGGAAAGAAGAAAAAGCAAAAAAGCAGAGAAAGGAGATCAGAAAAAGACGAACAAGGGAAAGAAAAGGGGAAATACATGAAACAGCCAAAAAGAAAAAGCGAACGGGGGAAAAAAAATTGTAGTGGAAACATGTCACGGTGTGTACACGGAGGTATGGAAAAGCAATTGCGTCTGAGTACAGATTGCATGTTCTACAAGCCTCTCTCTGGATCACGGTTTGAGCTACTTAGACACAAGCTAAATGTTTGTTTCATCTCTAAATTTCACCTTTCACCTGCGCAAAATCAACACTCTCAACATAAATCTGGAAGTCAACAACAAAGCTTAGCTTACGGGATGATATTGAGAAGGATGAGAATAAAAGAGTGTTCAATTTAAGGGTGATTTGAAGAATAGAGAACCAAAGGTGTCATTAAGGGGTGATATTGAAGAGATGGAGAAGCATAGGGTGTCTAGTTTAAGGAAGATGTTGATAAAAGAGAAGAAGAAGAATGTAGGCTCTCGTTTTGAGTAGGTATCTCGGGTTGTGGTTATTGGTCAATATTTGTAAGCATAAGTGTAATACCAGCTTTTTAGCAATATTAAAAACGCTGCGTTTACTGATGGCTGCATGTATAAAATACAGCCTTTCTTCCTTTGTACTCAGTTAGTTAGAAAGTGAAAAACAGAATCCTTTCTGTAGAACTCACAAGTTTCATGCTTTTTTTTTCTGCGTGTTTCTCTTCTAGAATTTTCTCTTCATCTCTGAAACTTTTCAAGCGGATACCATGTAGGAGTATTCTCTGAGACGTTTTTTGGGCCATCGGATATCAGAATATGCCCAGCAAGTTCTTTCTGGGTTGCCATTTGTAAGTAGTAGTCTAGGTTCTGTTGACAGGTTGTGCATTTATCTTGCATACTCACCTTGCTTCATCAAGTAATTCTGCAGTTTTATCACAGATGAAAATCTTTGAAGGTGAACAGATAAATGGTTGGCGAGAGCCGGAGTGACCATTTATTTATCCTTCTATATTGTGGCTTATGCTTGGCTGAGACTCTGTACAATTGACATAGGTGAGTGTTATGACGATTTTTTTTGTTGCAAGGTATTGCTTGTCAGGAACAGCTTACAGATATCCTTCCTGAGTTATTTTTAGTCAGTTCAAGGCTTTACTCAATTTATAATCCATAAGGTTATTGTTATTTTCTGTTTGTCTGAATGTAAAAATCCCATTGAACTGAATTTGAAAATTGTGAGCCCATTTGTTATGTACCTTTCATTTAGTTTTCTGCTTGTATTGGTTTCTTGTAGAGGAGCATTTAGTCATAACTTTTTGTCCATCAACTGCAATTCAAGATTGGTTCCCGTCAGTTAGATTCACACATAGTTGCCTTGCTGAGAACAATATAGTCAAACTATATTTAGTGAATGTGGATATTTGCCATTCAACCGATTCTGAGATTATAACAGGACTTACATTCGCTTTGGTCGTGAAATTCTTTACTATTGCTTGGAGAAGCATTAGTCTGATGCCATTGCACTTTTAGGATTTATACACTAATGTAAATAACTAAGATCGCTATTGTATTATGATTGGGTTAAATTAATTTCATGAAAAATAAAGATGTTTGCCTGTCAATCAATCACCATAAACTCATTTATCCACAACGATATAACAAGAAAATAACAATTTCCACCAGGTGTTAATTCTGTTAATCATCTCTAAAAAACACGTAAAAAGGTTAAAGGATTATGGGACACTCTAAAACAAATAATTAAAAAATTTCAAAGTGTTTTGGGAATACGAATATTACTGCGGCAGGAATTTGCCACATAATACAATTTACACAATTGTAATTCATATTGATGCATATGGAATTGATTGCTGGAATTATGCTCCTGAATCATGGCAATCACAGATAATCAGCACAAACATCATTAATTGAGTTTGTTATGATTTCTTGTAATTACGACTTTGATTATTTCCTTAATTTGTTACTTCTCACTTGTATAAATACATACGGTAATACAATGAAATATAATACAAAATAACAGATTCAATTGACCATCTTCTTCTTCTTGTATTCTGGCATTCTTAGGCAACACAGTTTGCCTCTTCTTGCTTAGATTCTGAAACATACACACACTCATTTTCCAAGAGATCATAGATGATTGAAACCGTAATGTATGAAGCATGCTTAAGACTTTTTTCAAGAATTTACAAGTACAGTGTTTAATTTTTTTTTTTTTTTTTTTTTTTTTTTTTTTTTTAGGAAATTAAAATATTGGTGCTATAGGAAAGTGAAATATTGAAGCACCACATGCATTTGAACGAGATTGTTTAGAAAAACGGGACAAAACTAAAACATGAAATTCAACCATTCTGAAAAATAAATTTGGTCTTCATAACTCAAACCTCTTCGCTCAAACTTGATAATATGTTTGTCTTATTACAACATCTTTTAAAGCTAATGACAGTACAGTGAAGTGTATAATGTACACCCTCAAGTTCTAACAACATCAACCAAACCCAATGCTCGATTGCCAGCTGTTGAAACCTCACTTGAACTTTTAGTGTTTACGTTGCAGTCCATCAGGAAGTACATATAAGGTTAATTAATAAATGTTTTCCTGAAGAGCTCCAATTGTCTTCTGTCCTCATCAGCATAAATTTATTATAAACCCAGTTTACCACGCTAGTTTTAGGTGAAGTAAACTGCCACCAGTGGCAGGTCAGCTAGTGTCGTTTTACTTTTACTATGACCTACACATGTGCTATATAGCTATATGCTTTTGTTCCCAAGTTTTCGTGTATCATTTTTCAAGAATAGAAACTAATAGAGAAATGATCATAAAATTTACAGAGAACTCTTATGGGAAATATATTTAACAAAATAGAATTTGTTTCTGAAAGCAAAGAAAACACAATTTAGCTATTTACTCATGAGTTGAATACGGCGTTTGAAACCATCAACCTAATCATTTTTCTTGAGACAACCTATACATATATATTCAATAACCTACTTAGAACAATCTTTAGCAGCTAGAAGTGTTCTAGCAACAATTACTTTCTCTTCAAAATGTTTTAATTGACTTAGTTTCATGCATAACACTAATATGAAAAAGTGTAAGAAGGAACTCAACTGTCTTCCAATTAAATCTAAGTTATATCAACACTAAAAATAAATCAAAGTCTAGAGAATATAAAATATAAAGGTATTTGATGGTGTTAATTTACCTTGAGCCATGCGTCATCCTTGCCTTTCTACAATTAAGCTAATATTGTTGCCATTACTCTAATTGGTGAAGGCAAGACAGTGTCAACCACTCTTCCTAAGGCTTCAACTTCTCAAAATTAACCATCTCTCAGCCTCACTTAGCTAGGATTTGAGCATGGAAATTGAGGGAGGGAGAAGCCTTTAGGGAGAGTGAATGACAACTGCTTCGTGATATACACATATATACGTACGTGAATCCTTGCGCCCATGTATGCATCTTAATTCATTGATGTTTTGTGGTGTGTAACAAATCGGACACAATTCCTGTTATATATATAGCCTGCTCAAAGTGTAAGAGTAATTCATGCTGTCCACGTTTCATGGATACTAGTCTAGCTGCGGATAAGAGATTGCGATAAAAGAATAAGTTCGATATCCACCATCCACGTCGGGCATCTTCAAGGAAACTGATTGATTAATATCTTTTGATAAGAAAGGCCATTAAGAAATAGAAAATTTGCCTTTGTAATTGAGTATGATCAAGAGTTTTCCTTTCCAGTAGTTAGGAGAGTCAATTCTGATGCCTCTTGAAATATTTAAGAGGTATGCTAATTATGTATGAGAATACACAAGTCTTTCAAAGGAAAAAGTAACTGGATAGAATCCTATCTTTAGTACATATATATCAACAAATCCTAATTTGACATTCCAATAAAATACAAATAATAGCACAATTGGTAATCCATCTGTTTTCATGTTGCGGTATCGATCATCGGTGTCATATTGTGAGGCTATAATTAAAGAATATTCCCCTTTTCTTTTCACAACCTAATTAGAATCTTCTGGCTACTCATCGTTTTTGTTGACATCGATCAAGATATGGGAACAGCAATGCGTTTATACATTATCAAACCAGCATCAATTGTTGGATTGTATAAAAGCTCTTTTTGAACATATATTGTACGTACCAATCTAACAATTGCTAGTTATTTGAGTGAGAAAAGAGAAAGAGCAGCCAGAGAGAGAGACGTAAGAATATTAAGCTTGAATGGAAGATATTGTTTATATTACAAAACAATTAATTTATACACATTTACATAACTAATTCAGGAAGCTTCCTGTCAATTTACAAAACTTGGTGGGCAAGAACATATTGAGAGAGTCAAAGCACAGCATGTAGGACCACAGAATCTCAATTTGTTAGAGAGCTGGTGGATGGAGACACATGTCACCAGTGTTGTCTCCCTGGTGTGTTGTCTCTATCCACTGTCCATCTTCTTCACATTCCCCCTCAAACTAGGTCTGTGTAGGACTGTAAGTTTGTTCTCATCCATTCGAAGTGGTTCTTAGGACTTGCTTTGTGAATATGTCTGCTATCTATTCTTTTGATGGAATGCAGCTGACTTCAAGTCTCATTACTCACCATTTCTCTTATAAATGAATTCCACCTCAATATGTTGGTTTTCCCATGCAAGATAGGATTCAAAGTGGGGTTGCGGCACTAACATTATCACACCAGATTCTTGGTGTTGAAGAACTCCATATTTTCATTCTGAGAGCAAAGAGTTAGCTAGGCTATTTCAGCTCCAGTTTGAGCAAGAGCTCTATACTCACTTTCAGTGCTTGATTTGGACACCCCTCTCTGTTTTTGAGCTCCATGCTATTGGATTTCCATTTAACATACAATAGCCTCCTGTAGACTTCCTGTCCTAGTATCAGAAGCCCAATCTGCATCAGAGTAGGCTTGTGATTTCACACTTTCCCCCTGGGTTGTAGAGAAGGTCATACTCCAAAGTTCCTTTAAATACCTTATGACCCTTTTAACTCCCTGCCAATGATCTTCATAAGGCTGTTGCATAAATTGACTCAACTTGTTCATAGTACTGTATGCAATGTCAGGTCTTGTAATTGTTGCATATTGTAGAGACCCTATCACACTCTTATATAAAGGATTTGGTAGAGATTTTCCTTCGTTACTTGTAAATTTGTGCCCAATGATCATTAGTGTAAGACAGGTTTATCTCAGCTCCATATGGGATTTAATGAGAAGGTCCTGGATATATTTGCATTAAGACAAATGCATTGAGGACCCTTGTCTGTTTACTTCAATTCCTAAGAAGTAGGATAGCTCTCCCCATGTCCTTTAAGGCAACTTGTTTTTTAGTTCTTAAACAACTTGATTTATCAAATGGCTTGAACTTCCAGTGATAATGATGTCGTCCACATACACCAAGAGGATTATTAAGTCTTTCCCTCGGTGTAGGTAGAAGAGAGATGAGTCATTTTTTATCCTTTAAAGTCCCAACTTTTAAGAGCTTCTTTGAGTTTGTGGAACCGGGCTTTTTTGGGCATGTTTGAGTCTGTAGAGTACTTTGTTGAGTTTGCATTGAAATCTGGACATCTTGGATCCTCAACTACACTTTCTGGTTTCTCCATGAGACATCCTCACGATGTAGGTTCTTTACTTGGTGAGAAGCCATAGGTCGATCATTGCTGTTTCAATGTTCAGTGTGGCATGCTTAACAGCTTGCTTGTGTATGGTTCCCCAGAATTTCGGGTGCAGAAGTCTTCACATGTAGAATCTGTATGTCTGGGTGTAGTTTTGTTTTAATCCCTGAGCCACAAGCTACTGCCTACGTGATCATCGCGCTCGAGTCGAAGGACTCATTGCGGATATCGCGATAGATTCTCAACTTTTATGTTCAACCGCACGTGGAGCCGGTGCAGGTCTATGTGTTTAAGCTAGTCTGACCGCCAGGTCGGCATGGTGTGTTTTTCTTCCCTACGTCGCATCGCCCACATCATCGGTTGGGGTCGAATTGCGAGCAAGTGTCAGGGAGGCAGGTTTGCAGAGGGCAGAAGCTTCAGCGCATGGCTACGTTTCGAAGGATGGAGCATCTTGAGTGCGGTGATGAGAGAGACAAGTGTCAGGAAGTCCTTGAAAGACCTGGACGGCTGTAATATTCCAACGGGTGGCTCTTGTCACCATGGGGTGTGGTTTGTTTTTTGTGAGCTCTCCTATGAGTTGGTGTCGATCATATCGACATGGGGTATCATCTTTATGCGTGCCGGAGAGCTGATCATGCCTGTAGTGACGAGATTGAGCGTTGATTGGATATGGTTGCATAATTTTGAGGACAGAGACAGGGCTGATATA